TTTCGTCCCAGAGTTTTCGAGAGTGGCGCGACCTCTTTCAGATCTAACAAAGAAGAAGGCTACGTGGATTTGGGGCACTGAGCAAGAAGCGGCCTTCACCGACCTAAAGGAAAAACTCACGACGGCCCCCATATTACGTCAAGCCGACCCTGCACTTCCCTACATGTTGAAGACCGACGCAAGTTCATACGCGTTGGGTGCATGCCTGTTGTAGGGTGAGGGCGCGGATGAGAGGCCCGTAGAATATGCGAGCTCTTTTCTGACACAGGCAGAACGTAACTACAGCACGACTGAGAGGGAAGCACTAGCCATTGTCTACGCGGCACAAAAGTTCCGCGGCTACTTGGAGGGCGCGAAAGTGCGGGTGGCTTCTGATCACCGGCCACTTCGTTGGCTGATGACCCTCCGTTCGCCGGCTGGCAAGCTAGCGCGGTGGGCGCTCCTACTGCAAAGCTATGATTTGACGATTGATTATATTCCAGGCAGGAGCAATGTGGTCGCCGATACGTTATCACGACCACCAGGTGTCGACGAAGCCCTACAAGCCTGTCTCGTTAGCATCGACTTACCCACCGCTTCTCAACGAGGTATCCGTGACGAGCAGCTGGAGGACCCAGACGTGGCAAACATCATTTCTGCCTTCGACAGTGTCGACGGCGACCTGTCACGATGGACCGACAGGGGGTACACCATGAATGATGGAGTGCTCTACCGCTACTCCCCGGACGAGGAAGCAGATGAACCGCAACTGGTGGTGCCGCAGTCAAGGGTTGCTGAGATATTGAGGGAGTTTCATGACTCGCCCATGGCGGGTCACCCAGGTGTAGAGAGGACGCTCGCGAAGCTGTCGCAGAGGTATTACTGGTCTACTATGCGTCGCGACGTCCGGAAGCATGTGCAGCAGTGCCTGGAGTGTCAGCGCTACAAATGCAGCAACCTGAAACCTGCAGGTTTGCTGAGGACGCCGGTCATGGCCCAGCGCTTCGAGGTTCTGGCGATGGATCTCTTCGGACCGCTGCCACCCACCGACCAGGGGGAGAGATGGGTGTTCGCAATCGAAGACACCGCCACCAGGTGGATCGAACTTTTCGCGCTGAAGAAAGTAACTGCCGAAGCATGTGCGAAATGCTTGGTGGATGAGGTAATCTTGCGATATGGCACGCCGCGGAGGGTTATCAGCGACAATGGTCCGCAGTTCGTGAGCGACATCTTGCAAAAGGTGTCATACTGCCTCGGGTTCGAGTAGAACCTGACCCCTGTGTATCACCCGTCGTCCAACCCGGAGGAAAGAAGAAACCGCGATTTGAAGACACAGCTGGCGATAATCGTGGAAAAGGAGCATACAAAGTGGAGTACTGCTTTGCCCGCAGTGCGCTTCGCGATGAACAGTGCTCTCCATTTAGGTGTCGGTCAAAGTCCCGCGTACTTGTGCTTTGGTCGCGAATTAAGGACACCCCTGGAGGTGCACGATGACCTGCGTGCGGTGGTCGAGAGTGAGAACTTTGTCGCCGAAATAACTCCGTATTTGCAGACAATTTCCGAAACACTAAAGTGCGCGCGCGAAACCTCCGAAAGGAACCAGGACCGCGCCAAACTGCTGTGCTCGTCGATGTACATGCCCTGAGCAAGGCTGACAGCCGCTATAGCAGCAAATTCGCCCCGAGACGTGATGGTCCGTACGTGATCATCGAGGAGGTATCCCCGGTCACCTACGTCGTGGCCTCACCCAACAAACTGGACGAACCCCTAGGGAAGTATCATACTTCAGCCCTGCGCCCCTTCGAAAAAGGTGCCCGTGAGTCAGTTATGCCGCTGGTGCTCCTCAGAAGACGTGGACGTCCAAGGAAGAGCACTGAGGAAGAACCTCCCAGGCAACATGATGTCGTCTTTTTCACGTGAATAAATGGTCATCATTTACGTCATAGTGACCAAAGATTTCACGTGATATTGACGTACCAATGACGGTCAAATGTCTCGTCTAGATAACGTCATTTTCTCACGAACTATTGACGTGATGTACTGACGTCTTAGAGTCGTCATTTTGTAACGAATTATTGACGTGATTTACTGACGTCCCAGAGACGGCATTTATTGTCCATTTTAAGACGTTTTTTATATTTTGATTTTTAGAAAAAAATATGCAATAAATAAAACGCTGAAATAATTTTATTTTTTTATATTGTTTAACTTAAATAAAATATTATAATTCGTTCTAATCACCAAGTAAAGCCCAAAACAAGGTATATATTAATTAAAGTTGAAACAAATTAGTGTAAAAAAATTAAATTTACTACAATTTTGTACAACCAACAATGAACTTCAATAAACAAATAAAAAATATGTCAATTAAACAAATTAAAGATAAACCACTCCTAAGAACACAAACAAATCTACATACAGGTAATTACGAGTATAATTGGTATAAACAAAAAAAAGGATATTGTACAATATATAATCAAAAATAAATGTTGCTATTTAAAGAAAAATCAGTTTTAAAAACCCAAAGAAATCTATTTAGTTACAAAGAATATTAAAAAAAAACTATAATAAACTATAGATGAGTCTTAAAAACACAAACAAATCTATTTACAAAAAATATTTAAAAAAACTAGAATAAAAGGAAAAGACAATTGAATCGCATTGTTGAAGTTACTTGATTGAAAATGCACTGTAAAACCACAGTATATGTAAAACTATCTAATTCACGACGACTTTATTGTCCCCAACACACAAAAAAGTAGCGTTAAGAATTAATTCTGTTTTAACAATCATATCAATAACCTAAGTTTTTTAAGTTTGCCTCAATTTATTGCACTGAAAAGAAAAACCCGTTAGAGTGCATGGATTAATGGAAATGCAATCCTTTTTTCATCTATGGGCAATAGCAAGCATTTGACTATTATTAAATTTAAGGGATTACAGCTTAAAGCAGAAGACAAATTCTGTATTTTAAAAATGCTAAATTTACTTTAATCTAACGGGTAATCGTAAAATGGTTTCATTGACAAAAACGTACAGCCTATCAGGAAAATCTCATTGTCAATACTTTTTACAATGAAGCGAAATGTGTATGTGTAAATAGTAAGTTACCAAAAATATCGTAGTATTACAGGCATCTACCGGTATATAATATCCAATATTAATGTTATATATGTACATATGAATTCATTGTATTTTTTTAACTTACAAAGAAATCTGCTTGTTCTAATATGCAAACATAATCTTGTAATTCGTCAAAATTTGTTTAGGTGTGGTTTTGGCGGCATAATTTTTCTTTTTCAGTTGTCAGATTTGATGACGTTTGCATGTTGGAGATTTTTTCACTCGTTTCCTTTAGCATTTCTTTCGTTTCGCACATGTGTTTTGTATTTGTTTCAAATCTAAAATAAAATTATGTTCATTAGCATTAGTTCATAAAAAATTGCAGTAACATATACCTTTGCAATATTTTATCGCGCCTCATTTTCAAAAACAATCACCGTATGTTCTTCATAATGAGTGGGAGTATCTTCAATGATTAATGGTGATCTTTCCAGCTTATCTGAAAAAACTGCTTTTGTTATCTACGTACAGTTATCAAAAATAACAGAAACACGTAAAAATTAAAATGATTACTTTATTAGATATTAACTTACCTACTTTAAATAAGTACAACTCACACTGAATGACATAAATTTGCACAAAGCTGCGTTAAAAATGAAATGAGTAACGGATACACGAGAAACTTTCGGTGGTTGAGAACCAACTGGAAATATTGGAATGCTTCTCTGCAAAGTGCAATAAACATAAATACCGAAAAAAGGGAAAGTCCGAATGCACACCCCAAACATCTGATATATTGTATAGTAAATACTAAATACGGATAAGAATAAATTTAATAAAACTGAATATTAATCACTCTCGAATTTTTTTGGTAACCGTCATCACTTTATAAACGTCTTTATAAAATCAAAATTCGACGAAGGAATTCTTCAAAACCTTGTCCCGTTTTAGGGACAATGGACAAAGAATTTTTATGACTGTGTTTGTGTCGTTGGGTCGTTTCGCTCAACCCCAGATGTTCTATTTATAATTTGCCAAGCAGGTACTTACAAAATAACACTTCCAGAGTAAACAAGTTTTCAGAAATAATTATTTTATTAGAAATTATTAGAGTGAAAAAACTTGTCTTCGGTGTATTTCTAATTAAGCCGTTGTATTTTTTGCTCGAAATATAATCAAACATTATGAAGGCCACTTTTTAAAGAATACGACGACCCACATCTAATTGATCATATAATCTATAAAAAATGACGAAGAAAGGACGGCCTTTTGACGTCATTAATTGACGTCAGAAATAAGTCATAAAAATCTCGTCATTTTCACGTGATTTTTTGGGCGAATGACGTCGCCGACGAGTTATGACCAAAAATTGACGTGAATTAGACGACAGTCTGCTGCTTGGGCTGAGGAGGTCCCGTCCCCGGAGTCGCCACAGAATCCGATAGAGCCTACGCCTTCCCAGCCTGGAACACACCGCCGCCGTCGGGGTAGGAAGCCTTGCTCGGCGCCGTACTGCCGCTAACTTTATTATAGGTTTTGGATTCCTCCTGGGGGCAGTGAGCGGACTCGAAAGGGGGAGTGTAACGCGAGGCCGCTAGATGGCGCTATCAGAGTATCACCCCACTGGCGGAACCACCCTCGTACCTTCTTCTTCCCTGAGTCGCAGACGTGGACGGCCGTGTTTTACATTGCGTTCATATTATTTTAAAGTTTTATACATTTATTATCAGTTTTGTGAATAAAGTTTTCGTAGCAAGAAAAGTGGCGAAAAAGTAATCGTCGCGTAACATATTATTATTGTTAACATTTACATCCACATACAAGCTGAGAGACTACATTAGAAAAATAATTAAATAATGAACAACAACAGGGAATATGTATTATCTACTCGGTGGCTCTATATTTTGAAACGAATTATAGTCTTTCTCGATTTATTCACGTTGTTGATTCTGTTTCAGACTTTCGAAAAACGAGGAGGAACTACCGATAAGGGTAAAAAATACGAAGATTTGGTTACCGCTAATCTCGCACTACAGTTGGTAAGCGACAGTAAAATAAGAGATTTCCGCATTTCTTCGAACGATAAAAATTTTGGTGATTTGGATGACGTGGTTATTGAAATTAAGACAGATAGGGGGATAAAAAAAAGCACTGCAATTAAAACACAGTAACGAAAAAAGACAATTATATACAAAGCAGCTAGCAGGCGAAAAGGGAGATTTTAGTTTAATTAAAGATTTCAAATCTACTCAATAGGTTCAAGGTGAAGTGCAAGAATTTATATTATTCACCACAAATACATTTAAGACTTCAGAAGAAACAAAATTTAAACTAGAAAGAGAAGAGTTTTACCTGAAGGAGATAAAAAAGACAGTTTCAGGAGACGATTTCGACGTTTTAAGAATTTCTGAAAATATAAATTATTATCATACATTTCAAATAGTAGAGGACGTATGGACTACACAAAATCCTGAAAAATTCAGCAGTACCGAACATTCTTCGAAAGCTTTCGTCTTTACACAAACCAAGATCGTTTTGACGCTCTTACAAAATCAACAATGGATATATTCACTGAGATGTTTTGCTCTAACGAAGAAACTTTCAAGAAGTACGTCGACGTCATATCAGAATGGAGTATGCGAGAAGGAAAAAAAGAAAAGCTAAGCAAAAGAATGATGCAACGTGCAATCGCACTTCGTTTGCGTTCTTCTCAGATCGAAACGTTTGTTTCTGGTTCAGTCACAGACGAAATGAAAATACTTCGAGAGTCTATTTGTCTCTTCGACATTACGTTGTTGGAAAAAAAATTCAGCAACGCAGTTAAAAATTTGTGGGGAGACTTGGACCAAAACATTGACCTCAAAGAACTAAACAAAGTTCGATTACTTTATTCCCTTTCTTTTGATTGTATCAGTAGTGTCGAAAATCTGGATGCAAATTTGTTGACACAGTTGCTATGGCTGATGGAGAAAAGTCCGCTTATTGTAAAGGAACACGAAAATATGGAAAAAGCTATTAAACTCTGTTCAGATGCAAAATTCGTCATATTAGGTGAGGGAAAATCTGAAGAATTGATGAAAGGACGCTCTGTGTTTGAAAACTTGTCCAACTTGAAACCAAGAAGTCGAATTGTATGAAAAGGTATTGCAAAACTTCACCATTTCTTTACAAGGAAAAGAAGCAATTAAGTTAGTGACCGCTTTAAAAAAAGTGAAGAAATTTTCAAACATGTTACTGTGGAAAAACTTTTAGAGATGGCAAATGGTCCATGCCATATAGATGGACAAAAGGAACTTTTGCCGAATCTTTATATCGATAGGTATTTGTTAGTCAATATTATAGACACTAAATATTTACAAAACGTTGATCGAAATACTGTTATGATTTTAAATTGCGAAGGTAATTCTCAGCAATTGAAATTACGTAAAAAACATATTCTAATAGACATCGAGGGTTTTTTAAGTACTACAGACCTCAAAAATTTTGAAAACCCAATTTTTATAAGGAGTGAAAAAAATTGCAGTGATTCTGATTTTCAGAAAATATGTTCTAAAGGACCAGCATCCAAAAGTGTACACTGTTTTAAACTTCTCAACGATCAAAATTTAGAATTGATTCGAAGCAAAGGATCTGTTAATGAACTGCGAAATTATAAGGTAGCTTCCAAAAACGAAAACGAAATTTAGTCTTCCGAATTCAGCAACAACGTAAATCTAATAACAGCTGACCCAGGAATGGGCAAAACCGAGTTAACGAAGAGTCTAAAAAACAACAGTTGTGCGAGATATTGGACCGTGATTCTGAGTGCCCAAGATGTTATATCTTTCTTAAAAAATTCAATGAAGTCTGAAATATTAGGAGATTTAACATTATTCGAAACATTCATTTTAAACGAAAAATATCGACACCTCACTGGGCTGGATCGAGAATATTTCACACTGTGTTTAGAGCAACGCAATGTGGTTTTTGTGTGGGACGCTCTTGGCCCAACACATTAGGCAGACGTTACCAAGCCCGGCTGTTTTTCCGAGTATAATACAATAAATTTAATGGTTTTTGCATTAACAAACTTAAAAAAATGTAAAGGGGTAAAATTATACCATGAAAAAAGTTAACACCATATTCATCCAACGTTACCCGGCCCACTATGTCCAACAGCTTTTTCAGTCCCGTTTCAGTATAAATAACACAGTAAACCGACGTTATCACTCCCGACATTGTTGCCACATTAAATTTATCAAAAATCGCTTCACATTGTATTGATCTGTAAAATTTCTTGTGTGTCTTGGAATTATCTTGTGCAGTCAGTGGATATGGAAAAGTATCACAAAAAAAATAAGGAAAACCAAAAATATATCTTGTCTGCCTGTCTTTTTGACGCATAGTTTATATTTTGTCTGCCTGTCTTTTTGACGCAGAGTTTATATGTCATACCCATGAGTGCCATGACAAACTGATAACTCATTCATAAAATTTGTTTGATAGATATTAATAAAATTTTCTTTTTACCAGTACATGTCTATCGAGTCCATATAGTTAGTTGAACCAAAATTTGGATACCTATTCCCACCTAAAATTTGGCGACATCTGAAAATTCTTAAGAAGAATTACTTTATTAATTTTAAGAAAATTTATAAAATAACATAATTTTACACTTGCGATTTATTATTAATGCAATTTTTATTTGACCTTAGGCTTACAGATTTGTAAAAAAAAATGTTAGCACCAAAATTTTCTAGTTTATTTCATAAATTTTGTAAATGATATCTACCTAAGGTTTTCTTACACATTACATAAATCACAAATTAAGATTTTTTAATATTGAAATCCTAAAAAAATCGAAATTTTAGCCACAATATGTGTTAGAAACGTTAAAATTGATTTAGAGATCTAAATTGCATATTCCTTAAGATGATCTTTAATATTTCAAATTATTAATTGAAAATTTTAAGAACACTAGCAATAAAAAGACCCTCTTCAAAAGAGTTACAATGCTCCATAGTAATTATTTAATCAATACTTGTTAATAAGGGCGATTAATAATCGCCTATTAACAAACGAGTTGGTTGCAATACTTCTCCGGTGATTGTAATTTCATACACGAAACTGCTAAAAATCAGTTTCAAATTTCATGATATTTATAACATTTAAATAAAAAATTTCACATCAAGTGCGCGGGGATACATCTGATTGTTATATTAACCCATTAAAATATAAATCGTTTATTAATAGCCGCAATTAATGAATGATTTCGAGACAGAATTACCAAAAAATGTTTTTAAGCCTAGCTGGCAGCTTTAGAGGCACAACAAAATGCACCATAATTTTCTGCAATTTTAAGCTTGTCTTTGTTTATATTGTTAAATAAAAAAAAATAATTTAAAGAATTATCGGAAATATTAGTGTCAAAACTCAATGCTTAAAACATTTGCAAATTAACATGTACAGTAAAGTATCACTGTCGAAGGATCTCGATCCTTTAATATATAATAATTAGCGTGGTAAACGCTACGATGAATTTAGTCCATGTGGAGTCCATGTGATATTTTTATTTTTCGTGTACATATTTTGTCTGGACCATATGAATTCAGCAAAATAATCCGTCTGCTTGCTGAGACACATTTTAAGACTTTCATCTTTCTCTAGATTGTCTGTTTCCCATCTAAGTATTTAAAATTTAAAATTAAAATGTCTGTTCAATACATGTCATTTTGCTTAACCTAAGTTAAAAAAATTGGTCGAAAGTTGTTTCGACAGAACTTCCCTCGCTGCTGAACTACAGGGAAACATATCCAACCTTTTCGAGTTTTTACACAATTTTGTAATGACGTCATCAGCCATTTTAGCAAGAACAAGAATATCAACTTATGGGCCAATTTCAGGTTGATTTGCAATTAATTGCAAGAGCCGTTGCTATGGTGATCTCGTAGAACTCTTAATACAAACCATTATATGTTTAGGAGGTTACCATAGCAACGCAGCTTGCAATTAATTGCAAACCAACTTGAAATTGGCCCGCAAGATTGGTGCAATATAATACAAAAAATAACAAACACTATTGTATTAACAAAAGTTTATGGGAAAATGGAATGAGTCGTTCCAGATTTTATAAATTTTATTCGACAAAATTTTCAGATAACGTCATAAATTTTTTGGGAGGAATAAACAGATAAATTTTGATTAACAATTTACCATGCTTACAATAACTTTAAAACGTCTGTAAAATTTCAAAGTACATATTCAGTTTTAAGGATGTCATAAGTATTAATGCATAAGAATTTATGTTTAGTGCTCTATGCTTCTATTCGTTTACAATGAGCATAATGCTTAGGACATCCTTATGCTTTATGCCTATTGTGAATGAGCACTTATGCTCATTGTGAACAAATACAACCATAGAGCTGTAATCATAAATTCATATACATTAATGCTTATGACATCCTTATGCTTTATGCCCATTGTGAATGAGCACTAAGGCAAAATTTTGAGGAGTGGTTTTCTAATTTCTCAAATTAATTGTCAAATCTTGTATAATTTTTATATATTTTTCAAAAAATTTACATATATCGCCTACTAAATGTAAATACGATACGAGAAAAAAAACACAATAGGCATGCAGTCGTCAAGTTTCCGACAGCGAGGGAAGTACTGTCTAAATTCTTTAGACCAATTTTTTCTCATTACATTTTTGTAGTGGGAATTTAAAAAAAAATTGCGATGACGTCATCAACATTTTTGCAAGGACACGTATATCAGTTGGGATAGTAGTAGTGTAATACTAAGAATAAAATTATTGTATTCCCAAATTTTCGGAAAAATGCATTGGGTCGTTTTGAATATTGATTTGTTATAATCAATAAAATAACGAATTTACTCACGTATACGGCGCCGCTGTGTAATATGAGAGGCAGCTGAAAATTGTTTATGTATAAGAATTCTTAATTTAAGATGACAAGCGTAACAGCATACGTGAGAGTCAAACAGAGAAACTGTAAACAAAACGACCATCGGTTTTATTGCTTCGACTTCCGCTTATTATATAAAACATTGGGTTTTATTTTAATTTTTGACGGTGGAATTCACAATTGGTTGATTATAAACATGTCTATTCCACATTCGCGGAACCTAGTCAGCGCATAAAACAAATGCACGTCTGTAATGTTAAAGTCGATGTAAATAAGCGTGCTACCCTTATGTTTCAACCGAGCTTTTACTTTAAAAAAATTTGTGTCTACCAAATTGGGTTGGTCTAATGTAATACTAATAATAAGTGTTGCCTTTAATTTAATCAATAAAATAAATTGACTTCATTAATTTTTTTGAGCCACCTCTTAAGAAAATCTAAAAAATATGAATGGAATGATAAATCACAAGTACAAACTCATCATATTTTTTGCATTTTAGATAGGATTTATTCAGCAAAATTTAAGGGTGACGTCATCAATTTTTTTAGGAGGGATGAACAAATACATTTTGAACAAAAGTTTACCATGCTTATAATAACTTTAAAATATCTCCAAGATTTCAAAGCATTCGGTTTTATAATTCCTGATTAAATCGATAAAATAAATTCACGTATTCATTAATTTTTTTGAGTCACTTGTATATGCAAATCCAAAAATATGAATGGAATGATAAATCACAAGTACAGACTCATCATATTTTGTACATTTTAGATAGGATTTATTCAGCAAAATTTTGGAGTGACGTCTTCAATTTTTTAGGGGGGATGAGCAAATACATTTTGATAAAAAAATTACCATGCTTATAATAACTTTAAAACATCTCCAAGATTTCAAAGCATTCGGTTCTGTAAATCCTGATTAAACCAATAAAATAAATTCATGCATTCATTAATTTTTTTGAGTCACCTGTATATGCAAACCCAAAAAATATGAATGGAGTGATATATCACAAGTACAGACGCATCATATTTTGTACATTTTAGATAGGATTTATTCGGCAAACTTTTGAGCTGACGTCATCAAGTTTTTGGAGGGGATAACCAAATATATTTTGACTAAAGATTTATGATGCTCTTTGGAGCCTTAAAACATCTGCAACATTTCAAAACATTCGGGTTAGCAGGTTCAAAATTAAATTGGAAAATGTTGTTTTATAATTGGAAAATGTTGTTTTATAATTTCGATTTTTTTTTTTTAAATCTGGACGTTTCGGGTAAAAACTCGATTCGGAGTCGTAAACTACATGTGTAGGACTCTATAATTTTATACAATTTAAAACCCATTTACTATGTACAATTTTAAAGTGACGTCATCGCATTTGTGGTGGGGATGATTAGACAAATTTTGGTTAGCGTTTTACCATCTACATGATATTCCTTATATAAGTACAAAATTTCACAACAATCGGTCCAGTACTTTCGGAGATTATCAGTTTAATAAAAATCCGGGACGGCAGACAGACGGACAGACGGACAGACGGACAGACGGACAGACGGACAGACGGACAGACGGACGGACAGACGGACAGACGGACAGACAGACGGAAATGGGAGACTTATACAATTTTACAAGAGAACGTATAAAACGTATTAAGAAAAATCTAGAGTTTTCCATTTTTTTGTACACCATGTGTTCAGATCAATTTTTTTACCAGATGATATCATCGTCTCGAAATTTTCATATTTCTTGTTCACGGTCCATTATTTCATCTCTAAGAAAAATGATTAAAGTTTTGAAACTTTAGCCACGTAATTGTTAAAGTTACTTAGAATAATTTTAACAATGTTTCTGCGAAAACACGATAATAATTTTGTTAATTAAATTATTTTTAGCGGACAGATCTAATAGGAATAGAAGACACTCCAAACAAGCAAGCTGCTCTATCTGAAGACAGTCATCAAAGTAAGGGAAATACCGAAGAAAATATAGTTCTGGCTGGACAAGCAACAAATGGCGAAAGAAATAAAACTTCGTCGGATAAGGTAAATTTATTTATGATGAAATATACGTTTTTTCCGTTATTTTGTACCAGAAAAAATAACTCAAACAAGACCTGTCTGCATTTATATGTGCAAAAGCATAAAAAAAACTTAGAACTATTTCGAAGTCTAATTTTGAAATGATTTACAACTATTTTCGATTTATTCACATTGTTGATTCCTTGATTTCTATTCCAGATTTTTGAAAAACGAGCAGGAACCACCGACAAGGGAAAAAAATACGAAGATTTGGTTACCGCTAAAGTCGCACTACAATTGGTAAGCGACAGTAAAATAAAAGATTTCTACATTTCTTCGAACGATAAAAATTTTGGTGATTTTGATGACGTGGTTATTGTAATTGAGACAGATAGCGGAATGAAAACAACAGCACTGCAGTTAAAACACAGTAATGAAAAAAAACAATTATATATAAAGCAACTGGCAGGCAAAAAGGGAGACTTTAGTTTAATTAAATATTTCAAATCTGCTCAAGAGGTTCAAGGCGAAGTGCAAGAATTTATATTATTTACCACAAATACATTTAAAATTTCAGAAGAAACGAAATTTAAACTAGAAGGGGAAGAGTTTTACGTGACAGTCAGTAAAAAAACAGTTTCAGGAGACGATTTCGACGTTTTAAGAACTTCTGAAAATATAAATTATTATCATACATTTCACATAGTAGAGGACGAATGGACTAAACAGAATGCTGAAAAAATTCAGCAGTACCGAACATTCTTCGAGCGCTTTCGTCTTTACACAAACCAAGAACGTTTTGAAGCTCTTACAAAATCAACAATGAATAAATTTACTGACATGTTTTGCTCTTACGAAGAAACTTTCATTAAGTACGTCTACATCATATCAGAATGGAGTATGCGAGATGGAAAAAAAGAAAAGCTAAGCAAAAGAATGATGCAACGTGCAATCGCACTTCGTTTGCTTTCTTCTCAGATCGAACCGTTTGTTTTTGGTTCGGTCACAGACGAAATGAAAATACTTCGAGAGGCTATTTGTCTGTTCGACATTACGTTGTTGGAAAAAAAAGGCAGCAACGCAGTTAAAAATTTGTGGGGAGATTTGGACCAAAACATTGACCTCAAAGAACTAAACAAAGTTCGATTAATTTATTCTCTTTCTTTAAATTATATAACTGGTGTCGAAAATCTGGATGCAAATTTGTTGACTCAATTGTTATGGCTGATGGAGAAATGTCCACTCATTTTGAAAAAACACGTCAATATGGAGAAAGCTATTAACCTCTGTCCAGATGCAAAATTTATTATTCTTGGCGAGGGTAAATATGAAGAATGGATGAAAAAACACTCTGTGTTTCAAAACTTGTTCAACTTGAAACCAGAAGTCGAATTGTATGAAAAAGAATTGCGAAAATTCACCATTTCTATACAAGGCAAAGAACCACGTAATTTGGTGACTGCTTTCGACAAAAATGAAGAAATTTTTAAGCATGTTACTGTGGAAAAACTTTTAGAGATGGCAAATGGTCCATGCCATATAGATGGACAAAAGGAAGTTTTTCCTAATCTTTATATCGACAGATATTTGTCAGTCAATATTATAGACATTAAATATTTAGAACATGTTAATCGAAACACTGTTATCATTTTAAATTGCAAAGGTAATTCTCAGCAATTGAAAATATATAAAAAGCATACTCTAACAGACATCCAGGGTTTTTTAAGTAATACAGACCCCAAAATTTTTGATAAACCAATTTTTGTAAGGAGTGAAAAAAATTGTAGTGATTCTGATTTTCAAATAATATGTTCTAAAACACCAGAATCCACAACTGTGCACTATTTTAAATTTCTCAGCGATCAAAATTTGGAATGGATTGGAAGCAAAGGATGTGTTAATGAACTGCGAAAGTATAAATTACCTAGTCTTTCCAAAAACGAAAATGAAATTTGGTCTTCCGAATTCAGCAACAACATAAATCTAATAACAGCTGACCCAGGAATGGGCAAAACCGAGTTAACGAAAAGTCTAAAAAACAACTGTTGTGCGAGATATTGGACGGTGATTCTGAGTGCTCAAGATGTTAAGTCTTTCTTTAAAAATTCAGCAAAGTCTAAAAAATCAGACTTAGAACTATTCGAAACATTTATTTTAAACGAAAAATATCGACACCTGGCTGGGCTGGATCGAGAATATCTCACACTGTGTTTAGAGCAACGCAATGTGGTTTACGTATGGGACGCTCTTGATGAAATATTTACTCACTATTTAAATGGGACTTTAGATCTCATTCTTATGTTATCGCGGAAATGTTTCATTCAGTGGGTTACGGCAAGGCAACATTTGAGATCTTCTCTGGAAGAAAAATTTAATACTCTGTCAGTGGACATCAATCAACTCACCGAAGTCGAGCAAGACGACTACATTAAGAAACGTCTTAACAGTTTTATTGCGTCTGCAAATATGAAACTCACGATCGACAAAATTAAATCCACATTTGCATTTACAAAACATATAGATATATTGGGAATCCCTCTTCAAATTTTTATGCTTACAGACGTATTTCTTAAAAATAAGGAAAAATATTTAGAGTTATTAAACAATAAATTTCTCTTGACTGACATGTATCGTTACTTTATTGAAGGAAAATTTAAGTTTTTCTACGAAGGCAAAGTTCCTGTAAACAATGATTTTTGGCAAGAAAAAGTGAAGAAGGAAATGGAAGAAAAATTGCAACAGTATGAAAAGTTGGCGCTCAAAGTAATATTTCCTGAAAATATTTTGAAACAATTAAAGATAGATTATTCGCAAAAGATAGATTCTGTTTCTGAAGATTTCGCAACTGTTGGTATCGTGACTGGACTACAAAACGGCATTCCGCAATTTGCACATGCTTCATTTGCCGAATATTTTGTTGCCTTACATTTTTCTAGAAATTTTAAAATGATACACAGGGTCATATTTTTTGATGCGAAGTATAATAACGTACGTTTCTTCTTCGACATGTTAACTGGCAAAAATTCACCGGTCCACATCGCGATTTTATATAGAAATTTTGATGAAGTGGAGAACTTTGACGACGAAATAATAAAACGTAAAGATGAGTGTGGAAGAAGTGCCTTACATCTCATTTGTTCTTGGGGACGAAGACATGGGCGTTTAAAAGTACAAACCAAATTTATGCATTATATTATCGAAGCATATCAACAGATAATGAATGCTTCATTAGAAACGAAAGAATATTCTAAAGCGTTATTGTTTTTGTTGGACAAATGTGAAATATTAGAAGAAGATTTTTTACATCAACTCACACCCTTAGCATGGGCACAAGAAAGTGAAAGTTTGGGAGCGGAACTGGAATTATTGCAATCACGCAAATTACAACTGAAAGATTCGTATAGTCCAACAGACAAAATTAATATTTTATTTTTTGCCGCTTTGCACGGATACGCAGAAGCGATTAAAATATTATTTTCATTTTCGAGTATTTCTAATAATAAAGTAAATTTTAGTGTTGAATTCGATGGTAGTACGCCTCTTATAATAGCTTCTCGAGAGGGGCACGAAACAGTTATAGAGTGTTTAGTCAATTGCGGAGCCGAAATCAATGGCGCTGATAATTATGGTTCGACACCGCTTTACGCAGCTTGCTCTCAAGGTCACGAAAAAATGGTCGAATGCCTGATGAAATGCGGAGCCGAAATCAATCGCGCTGATGATGATGGTCAGACACCGCTTTATGCAGCTTCCTCTCAAGGTCACGAAAAAATTGTCGAATACCTGGTGAAAAGCGGAGCAGAACTCAATTGCGCTGATATCTATGATTGGACACCGTTTCACGAAGCTTCCTTTCAAGGTCAGGAAAAAATTGTCGAATGCCTGGTGAAATGCGGAGCCGAAATCAATCGCGCTACTAAACATGGTGTGACACCGCTTTACCTAGCTTCCTCTCAAGGTCACGAAAAAACTGTCGAATGCCTGGTGAAATACGGAGCCGAAATCAATCGCACTAATGACAATGGATGGACACCGCTCTACGCAGCTTCCTCTCAAGGTCACGAAGAAATTGTCGAATGCCTGGTGAAATACGGAGCCGAAATCAATGGCACTAATGACAATGGATTGACTCCGCTTTACGCAGCTTCCTCTCAAGGTCACGAAAAAATTGTCGAATGCCTCGTCAAGGGCGGAGCAAAAATTAATCCAGTTAATAAATATGAGAAGACATTGCTCTATGCAGCTTCCTCCCAAGGTCACAAAAAAATTGTCGAATGCCTGGTGAAATGCGGAGCAGAAATAAATCGCGCTGATAAAAGCGGTAAGACACCGCTTCATATAGCTTGCTCGGAAGGTCACGAAAAAGTTGTCGAATGCCTGGTGAAAGGCGGAGCCGAAATCAATCGCGCTGATAAAAGCGGTAAGACACCGCTTTACGCAGCTTCCTCTCAAGGTCACGAAAAAATTTTCGAATACCTGGTCAAGGGCGGAGCAAAAATTAATCCAGTTAATAATTATGAGAAGACATTGCTCTATGCAGCTTCCTTTCAAGGTCACAAAAAGCTTGTCGAATGCCTGATAAAATGCGGAGCCGAAATCAATCGCACTAATGACGATGGATGGACACCGCTCTACGCAGCTTCCTTTCAAGGTCACGAAGAAACTGTCGAATGCCTGGTGAAATACGAAGCCGAAATCAATGGCACTAATGACAATGGATGGACACCGCTCTACACAGCTTCCTATATAGGTCACGAAAAAACTGTCGAATGCCTGGTGAAATACGGAGCCGAAATCAATCGCACTAATGACATTGGATGGACACCGCTCTACGCAGCTTCCTATATAGGTCACGAAAATATTGTCGAATGCCTGGTGAAATGCGGAGCCGAAATCAATCGCACTAATGACATTGGATGGACACCGCTCTACGCTAATGTGACTCGATCTTGAAATGTGTGGCAATTAGTAACTTTTATGAAATAGAAATATATCTGTGTCCTTGTTATGCTCCGTCTTTTCGACAGCAGGTATTTTTTGCTTCCAGTATGGCGATCCTGTTACTGTCATTTGGCCGTCAATTGCCTTGGTGGTAACACGTCTTCCACGACTGTTTGCTGGTTACCGGTGACACTTTCTCGTTGAATAGGGCTGGAGTTACTTTGAGACTGGAATAGTGTTCTTTCCGGTCCGTTAACTCAATAATTCTAGTACAGTCTGTCGTAACCTCAAATCGTAAACACATCAACCTTTCGTTGACAGATAGCGAAAATTACTAGCCTCGCGCTATCTTTGTTTAACACATAGGTTAGGTTCCTCTCTGTCGAATTCCGACCACAGGCAGTTTGCCGTACTTTCTAAAAGTAATAGTAGATCTAGTGACTTTACTCTACGCAGCTTCCTATATAGGTCACGAAAATATTGTCGAATGCCTGGTGAAATGCGGAGCTGAAATCAATCGCGCTGATAAAAGTGGTAAGACACCGCTTTACGCAGCTTCCTCTCAAGGTTACGAAAATATTGTCGAATGCCTGGTGAAACGCGGAGCCGAAATCAATCGCCCTGATAAAAGTGGTAAGACACCGCTTTACGCAGCTTCCTCTCAAGGTCACGAAAAAATTGTCGAATGCCTGGTAAAATGCGGTGCCGAAATCAATCGTCCTAATGACAGTGGATGGACACCGCTCTACGCAGCTTCCTATAAAGGTCACGAAAAAATTGTCGAATGCCTGATGAAATGCGGAGCCCAAATCAATCGCGTTGATAAAAGTGGTAAGACACCGCTCTACGCAGCTTTCTCTCAAGGTCACGAAGAAATTGTCGAATGCCTGAGGAAATGCGAAGCAGAAATAAATTACGCTGATAATGATGGTCAGACCCCGCTCTACGCAGCTTCCTCTCAAGGTGACGAAAAAATGGTCGAATGCCTGGTAAAATGTGGAGCCGAAATCAATCGCCCTAAATACAATGGATGGACACCGCTCTACGCAGCTTCCTATAAAGGTCACGAAAGAATTGTCGAATGCCTGATGAAATGCGGAGCCGAAATCAATCGCGCTGGTAATGATGGAACGACACCTCTTTACGCAGCTTCTTATCGAGGTCATGAAAAAATTGTCGAATACCTGGTGAAACGCGGAGCCGAAATCAGTCGCGCTGATAAATATGGTCGAACACCGCTTTACGCAGCTTCTTATCGAGGTCATGAAAACATTGTCGAGTACCTGGTGAAATGCGGAGCCGAAATCAATCCCGCTGATGCTGATGGTGAGACACCGCTTTACGCAGCTTCCTCTCGAGGTCACGAAAAAATTGTCGAATCCCTGGTGAAATGTAGAAAAGCCGAAATCAATCGCGTTGATAAAGATGGTGAGACACCGCTTTACGCAGCTTCCTCTCGAGGTCACGAAAAAGTTGTCGAATGCCTGGTGAAATGCGGAGCCGAAATCAATCGCGCTGATAAAAGTGGTAAGACACCGCTTTACGCAGCTTCCTCTCAAGGTCACAAAAAGCTTGTCGAATGCCTGATACAATGCGGAGCCGAAATCAATCGCACTAATGACGATGGATGGACACCGCTCTACGCAGCTTCCTCTCAAGGTCACGAAGAAATTGTCGAATGCCTGGTGAAATACGGAGCCGAAATCAATCGCACTAATGACATTGGATGGACACCGCTCTACGCAGCTTCCTCTCAAGGTCACGAAAAAATTGTCGAATGCCTGATGAAATGCGGAGCCAAAATCAATCGCGTTGATAAAAGTGGTAAGACACCGCTTTCCGCAGCTTCCTCTCAAGGTCACAAAAAAATTGTCGAATGCCTGGTAAAATGCGGTGCCCAAATCAATCGCCCTAATGACAGTGGATGGACACCGCTCTACGCAGCTTCCTATAAAGGTAACGAAAAAATAGTCGAATGCCTGATGAAATGCGGAGCCCAAATCAATCGCGTTGATGAAAGTGGTAAGACACCGCTCTACGCAGCTTTCTCTCAAGGTCACGAAAAAATTGTCGAATGCCTGATGAAATGCGGAGCAGAAATAAATCGCGCTGATAATGATGGTCAGACCCCGCTCTACGCAGCTTCCTCTCAAGGTGACGAAAAAATGGTCGAATGCCTGGTAAAATGTGGAGCCGAAATCAATCGCACCAATGACAATGGATGGACACCGCTCTACGCAGCTTCCTATAAAGGTAACGAAAAAATTGTCGAATGCCTGATGAATTGCGGAGCCAAAATCAATCGGGTTGATAAAAGTGGTAAGACACCGCTTTACGCAGCTTCCTCTCAAGGTCACAAAAAAATTGTCGACTGCCTGGTAAAATGCGGAGCAGAAATAAATCGCGCTGATGATGATGGTCAGACCCCGCTCTACGCAGCTTCCTCTCAAGGTGAGGAAAAAATTGTTAAGTGCCTGGTAAAATGTAGAGCCGAAATCAATCGCCCTAATTACAATGGATGGACACCGCTCTACGCAGCTTCCTATAAAGGTCACGAAAGAATTGTCGAATGCCTGATGAAATGCGGAGCCGAAATCAATCGCGCTGGCAATGATGGTACGACACCTCTTTACGCAGCTTCTTATCGAGGTCATGAAAAAATTGTCGAATACCTGGTGAAACGCGGAGCCGAAATCAGTCGCGCTGGTAAAAGTGGTAAGGCACCTCTGTGCGCTGCTTCCTCTCAAGGTCACCAAGAAATTGTCGAATTCCTGGTGAAATGCGGAGCCGAAATCAATCGCGCTGATAAATATGGTCGAACACCGCTTTACGCAGCTTCCTCTCGAGGTCACGAAAAAGTTGTCGAATGCCTGGTGAAATGCGGAGCCGAAATCAATCGCGCTAATAAAGATGGTAAGACACCGCTTTCCGCAGCTTCCTCTCAAGGTCACAGAAAAATTGTGGAATTCTTAGTAAAATGTGGAGCAAAACCTTTCGTTTAATAAAATGAATAATGATGGTTGAACTCGAATAGTCACCAAAAATCTGTCGAATGATTAGTTCAACGGTGATCCAAAACTCCTCTACGCCGGGCAAGACTTTCAATATTTTATTACCATCCGCCGCCTCATTTTTTTATTGTTATTTTGTTGATCATATCAGGGACGGTAATTTTGCTCTATCTATTAAAAACAATGTTACCCTAACTTTTGAGAGATTTTATTACATACTTTAATTATAGGATTTATATTAAAAAAAATAGAATTGAAAAAAACTGAATTTGTTCGACCGTATTTTAGCAGCGAGATACAGGGTCATTATAAAATATTGTAGTCAACTCACCTATGAAAAACAAATGAAATTTTTCTCGTGCCGCTAATCACCAAAATGATTTGAACTGTTTTGAAATGTCACGAACGTCCAAACAAATCTGTCAGATGTGTCAAAAATTGAAATGCCCGGTTCGCGGTTTAATTTCATTTTAAATAGACACGAAAAGACGCCAGGCCAGAGCATTAAGGGTTGCAGTGTTATCGAGCATTTGTGAACGCCACTGCAATACATTTCAGTTTCAAAAATTGTAAATTGTCAGAAAAACGTTTAAGGGCTTTGTCATGAATTACACCTTGGAAAGTCGATTGGACTTGAACAGAATAAATAATCTGGTCTGTTTTGCAAAGAAGCAATAATTTTTCAAATAATGAAATCCAAAAAGTGAGGTTAAATTTGTCGAAACCAATGAACACGGTAATTAATTAAAAAATTACATTTTTATAGGTACCCTGAAGGTAAAAATTGTGAAAAATCACGTAATGGACAATGGCAGAGCAAGTCTTATCACAGTTAACGAACACTATGAGTACCTAATGAGTTTTTGCAGTAAATAATTTTGCCAAAGTTGTGATCCCTCGAAAGTTCTGTTTGTAAATTGTAAGGAATCGTCAAAATATTGGTGCAGACATGGTTTGTGACCGGTGCTTTTCTCTTGAAAAAACACAACTGAAAGCCTTGATCTTCATCCCTACAATAGGTGAAAACTGCTATGTCCAAACATTACCTTCAGCTTTGCAGTTTCTAGATATCTGAAACATGCCAGATCTGCATAACAGGAATGTCAAAGAGGTTCTACCCAAAACACGCCCACATGGCCATCCTAATATCAAGATTTTTCAAAATTTCTATAACAAAAAAGATGAAAAAACCAATAAAATTTCAGGAGCATAGTGTTAAGAGTTCTGTAGATGATTATGAGATCTCTTGAAACAACAGAATGTTTAATAAAGATTTTTAACTTTCCTAATAGTAAAATTACAATTATTACTAAACAGTAAGTTGAAGTAAGTTTTAAATTAAGAGAATGCAACTAACACCGAAAGAAAAATGAAAGTTACTGAAAATAAAAAACTTTATTGCAGTACCTACATACACTTTCTACATCTAATTTTGTTTATTGATCACATTCATTTACTTGAAAAAGTATCAGGCCTATGAATCGTCGTCTGCTAACCACACACCAACCTTCATAGCGTGTGATGGTGTTTCTTCAAAAGCGTGAGTATTTTCTATACACCAAATTCTGAAGTTCTGTCAGTTGACATAATAGCCTAACAGATGAAACCAGGCTTCATCAGAAAAGAACGACAAATCGAGAATCCCGTTATCGTCCATATCAGCTTGAAACCAACTACACTACCCAACGCGGCAAGAAAAATCAGCTGGTTGCAGCTCCTGAACCAACAAAATCTTGTATGGATGCATATGTAACTTCTCTTTTACGATTTTCTGACATGGGCTGTATGGTACTCCGGACAGTAAAGATTTTTGACAAAGCTTTATTCGGACTTTGTTCCATTCTCATCCTTAAATCTTCAACAACGTCTTCACTAACTTGAGGTCTCCCCGTCGGTTTTCACTTAGAAATGCTACCAGTGTCGTTAAATCTGGCCATAATTCGCCATATAGCGTCTTCAAAGATTCTTCATCAATGACAACAGAACATTTCACTAGATACTCGTTTTTAGACGCCTCCACAGAGTACACTCCATCCCCATCCTCATTTAACACCCCATTACGGTAATAGGCATGATGATTGCGCCAAAGAACTAAAAAAATCATTTGTAACACTGACCATAGTTATTCCTCTCTGTTCATTACCTGAGATTATTCCACAATGATCTGTAGTTTTGATAAAAACTGTTTTTTTGAGACACTTATTAAAGTTCTAACAAAGGGGAAGACAGCAAAAATGAAAACAAGACAAGTCAATTAACGGACAAAGTGAGGGAAAACGTACCAGTACAAACGAAAAAATTATTGACATCTGACAGAATTTGATGAAGCGTTGAAACAGTGCAGCCGCTAATGTCAACTAATGTGGCGTTAAAAATAAAAATTCCAATATTAGTGTAATCCTTTCCACAAAACTGAAAAAGGCGGCACAAAATGTCACCAAAATCATGGCCTTCTTCGACTACAATATTTTATAATGACCCTGTATGTCCTGTCTGATACCTTGGACCAATTTTATCTAGTTTGATTAAAATTAAAATTTGAGTCTACATTATTTTTGGTAATACAGTGTTTTTCTTTATTTGTCGAATATGTTTCACTATTTGAAACATTTTTCCCGTATTTGCCTTTTTGATATCATATGCCCAAAGTAATTCTCTTTGTCAAAATTCTTTCAATTTATCGCAAGGCCCAAGCGTAAGTAATTTATTTTAACAAATATGTCAATCTATAATCATGAAATACCTATAACAAATTATTTAAGTTCAAAATTTCATTTCTGTTGAGGCAATCCCTACAAATTATTGCCTCAAAAGCATTGTGTACTTGGATATTGGATATTTAATTCGTCTTCGCTTCTAGGATGGCTTCTTTTAATAATCACTTTCCACTGATTAAACAGTTTCCCAATTAGGTTTAATCTGTAGATTTCAAAGGGGGCTGCACACGTCATTACGACTCTTCGACCAAGTTTTCAGCTACTGGGTTAAGAAAAGTCCTAAATCGAGGTAGAAATACAGGAAAAACTCCATGGGTTTGTATCAATTGTTGAATTTATTCAGTTCTGTGAAATCTTACATTGTTCATTAAAATATGTCCGTGCGCCCCTAATATTATCTTCTTGTAAGTGATTCAATAAGGTTTTAAAAAATCGCAATCGACTAATTACGACCTGTCAGCTGACCTTTAACTTTGTTTGCGCTACAGTTACTTGGTGATCTTCCGTAAGAGTTAAACACAGTCTTCATCAACCCAATTGCATATTTGTTTTTTCTGTTATTCAGTTAACTTTTTCGGGCGCTGCCCAGCACTTCTTTCTTCATTTGATTAGTCGAGTAAATTTTTCTAACAGTGTTTAGTAGGATTTTAAAGTGCTGTCCACATTGGCTGAAGTCGACGAAATTGTTTTGCCAAAAAAAAAGAAACTGTTTTGACACAAGGTAAAATAATCTGAGAAACATAGCGCACCATTTAATAACAGGAAATAGATTTGAGAATTAGTGGAACACAATTAACGAAAGACGAAAATCAAAAGAAGTACACTATTTTATGATGTATATCTTTGTATACATACCTACCTATATCTTTCATCTGTCTTCAGATATTCTGAAGTTTTGTATTGTGTTTATTAATTTCTTTATTTATCTATTCTTATATTTAAACATATTTCTGAGATTCACGCAATTTTTAAATCTATGGAAAATATAACCACAAGCCAAATAAGTCACCTTCTTTTATGGTCACATATTTCACTTGAATAAACTAATTTGACATGACGATTTCTTTTATGAATATTTTCTTTGTAGTTTTTTGTGAAGTATCATTTTCGGACTTTTAACTTTCACCAAATTTATTTTCTTCCAATTTTGAACTTTCGATAAATTATTTTGACAGTGTCCCAAATTTTAATTAGTTGACGACCACAATTTTTTACCAAAACTTTTCAACTATATTTTCGGCCAAACTCAGCTAAGCTCCAACTTTTACTATTACTTAGGTGAGTCATCAACGAAATATATTTGGCGTTATGTAATTATGAAATTTCAGTACAAATGTTTTTCGTGAGGCCTTCACAACAATACGAAGAGAACTGCAGCAAAAACTAGCGTACGTCCTACTATCCAATTTGAAAAATGCAAACAAAACACATAAACTAAAGTAAGTAAAAATATTTTGAAATTAACTTTATAAATTTGATTTAACATTTCAGTACATGTGTTTACATAACTTTTATAAAAATTGGAACCAAAACTTCTGTTAATCGTCAAGAACTAATATTGGAACGATGTTTTGAAAAATACTTCCGCTTCAAAAATAGGTAAATTTCCCTACCAAAGTACTTATTTTTATTTATCACATTTTGCATTATAGACATTTCCTGCCTACCAGAACAGCGAATTTAAAAACAGCAACTGGTGTTGTAATTTCGTTTCACCACAAAATAGACAATTAGCGAAATTACGTTCCCTACAATGTATTTTACGTTAACGTACACAATCGCCAATAGGGACACCGTATTTTCTATGTTTCCATAGATATAACAGTTTTTTCTACGTTGTGCGTGCTGTACGTTCTACGAAACGTGGTTTCGCTAATTGTCTATTATATCTTAGGCCGAATCAGGTTTCTAACCTCAAATTTTGACAAATGGGGTTAATACCGCTAACTGACCTGGACAATATCAACAGAAATGTGTTTTAAGGTAAATTTTATAACTTTAAATTTCACAATATCACAAAATATTTAAAATTGCAGCAAAACATACGCTAAACGAATTCCAAACCAGAGAAATTAGGCGAAATTTCTCCACCATCAGCCGGAACTTCATCTTGTCAACGTAATAGCTACAAGTTGTCCATACATTCCAAAATCAGTGCATGGAAAACAGTATGGTGCTATAGAAAATCAACTTAATCAGAGTCATTATATTTAAAAGGACAAACCGTTCACAGGTAACATCATTTAACATATTAATAACACATTCTCTTTGATTGAGATAGTTTTCCATAGCACAATTAATTCTAGTTCTAATATGTAGTTCCACAATAATTTTATTATTTACAAGTACCCAGGCAACATGATGTCGTCTTTTTCACGTGAATAAATGGTCATCATTTACGTCATAGTGACCAAAGATTTCACGTGATATTGACGTACCAATGACGGTCAAATGTCTCGTCCAGATGACGTCATTTTCTAACGAACTATTGACGTGATGTACTGACGTCTTAGAGTCGTCATTTTGTAACGAACTATTGACGTGATGTACTGACGTCCTAGAGACGGCATTTATTGTCCATTTTAAGATTATATTTTGATTTTTAGAAAAAAATATGCAATAAATAAAACGCTGAAATAATTTTATATTTTTATATTGTTTACCTTGAAAATAAAATATTATAATTCGTTATAATCACCAGGTAAACCCCATAACAAAGTATATATTAATTAAAGTTAAAACAAATTAGTGTAAAAAAATTAAATTTACTACAGTTCTGTACAACCAACAATGAACTTCAATAAACAAATAAAAAAATATGTCAATTAAACAAATTAAAGATAAACCACTCCTAAGAACACAAACAAATCTACATACAGGTAATTACGAGTATAATTAGTATAAACAAAAAAAAAGGATAATGTACAATATATAATCAAAAATAAACGTTGCAATAAAATATGCTATTTAAAGAAAAATCAGTTTTAAAAACACAAAGAGATCTATTTAGTTACAAAGAATATTAAAAGAAAACTATAATACACTATAAATCAGTCTTAAAAACACAAACAAATCTATTTACAAAAAATATTTAAAAAAAACTAGAATAAAGGGAAAAGACAATTGAATCGCATTGTTGAAGTTACTTGATTTGAAAAAGCACTGTAAAACCACATTATATGTAACACTATCTAATTCACGACGATTTGACTGTCCCCAACACACAAAAAAGTACCGTTAAGAATTAATTCTGCTTTAACAATCATATCAATAACCTAAGTTTTTTAAGTTTGCCTCAATTTATTGCACTGAAAAGAAAAACCCGTTAGAGTGCATGGATTAATGGAAATGCAATCATTTTTTCGTTTATGAGCAATAACAAGCATTGCCCATATTTGGCTATTATTAAATTTAAGGGATTACAGCTTAAAGCAGAAGATAAATTCTGCATTTTAAAAATGCTAAATTTACTTGAATCTAACGGATAATCGTAAAATGGTTGCATTGACAAAAACGTACAGCCTATCAGGAAAATCTCGTTGTCAATACTTTGTACAATGAAGCGAAATGTTATCAAAAAGTATCGTAGTATTACAGGCATCTACCTATATATAATATCCAATGTTATGTTATATATGTATATATAAATCCATTGTATTTTTTTAACTTACAAAGAAATCTGCTTGTTCTAATTTGCAAAGATAATCTTGTAATTCGTCAAAATTTGTTTAGGTGTGGTCTTGGCGGCATAATTTCTATTTTTGTTTTCTTTTTCAATTGTCAGATGTGATGACGTTTCCATGTTGGGAGATTTTTTCACTCGTTTCCTTCAGCATTTCTTTCGTTTCGCACATGTGTTTTGTATTTGTTTCAAATCTAGAATAAAATTATGTTCATTACATTAGCATTTAGTTCATAAAAAATTGCAGTAACATACCTTTACAATATTTTATGGCGTCTCATTTTCAAAAACAATCACCGTAAGTTCTTCATAATCAGTGAGAGTATCTTCAGTGATTAATGGTAGTCTTTCCAGCTTATCTGAAAAAACTGCTTTTGTTATCTACGTACAGTTATCAAAAATAACAGAAACACGTAAAAATTAAAATGATTACTTTATTAGATATTAACTTACCTCGTATAAATAAGTACAACCTACACTGAATGGCAGAAATTTTCACAAAACTGCGTTAAAAATGAAGTGAGTAATAACGGATACACTGTTACGAATTGAAAATTCGCAGTAGCTATTTCGGTTTTTATTGGCATTCTCGGATCGGATTACATTTTGTTTACTCGTTTTTTTTTCGTTTCGTCATTTCGTGCATGGGTGGTTGGGTTGGGCACGGTGGCAATGAAGGACAACTTTGGTGGAGGGTTCGTCCCGAGCTTTTGACTCCCCCAGTCGCAAGACTGTCGCGATGATGCTGAGCTTGGAGGGGCTCAGATGAGTGTTTCGGCCTCGCTGTTGTAGATCGGTCTTCTGGATCGTTTCAGCTTGGTTCTTGCTATAAGGAACTGGATGGATCGCGCCATCCCAGAGCTTCACTCTGAAATTCGATTTTCGTTCTGTTTGTTATTTTTGTTCGCGAATTTCATTTGCTTACCTAGGTGGGAACAAACGCCGTGGAGCGTCCCCTAGAGTCTTCGTCATTTCTGGAATCTTGATAGCCTTGTTTGTTTTTTTCTTTTGTTAATAACCATCGCATCCACTCATTAGTTACATCGATTAGGGATTTTCGTCGGAATTCGACGTTTCGTAAGTTTGCCACTAGAGGGCCAAACTTCCGTGAACTCTCGCTTCGTTACCTTGCCACGTCATCGCAGGTGGAAGGGAATCCATTTTGCTTTGGTACTCCGTGTTGAATGGTGTTGGGGGTTAGTGCTTTCCTCTTTTGCAGTTCGTTTTAGCAACCTTTTCTTTGGCGTTACGTTTGGAATCGCATTCGTCGGATCTGTTGGGTCCCCTAAAAGGTGCTATCGCTTGGAGCGCATTTGTGAGCTGTAAAAGAAATAGTGCGTTCGAGCACTACGACTTCGTCGGATTTTTTTTGATTAAGAGCACTAGACCATCCCGCTAAAATCGGAGAAGCTGCAGTCGATCCGCAGGTAAATCTTTTGATTAGCTTTTCCCTGGCATCCCTTCGAACAGTGGTTATGGTTATTTTCATGTTAACGATAATATTTTACTACTTACCAAGTGCATGTGACATGTGGAACCCTTGGGGTTGACTGAGTTCGAACATCTTCTCAGACTTTGCTCTCCTTGCAGCTTTTTTGTTTTGTCGCTGATCTTGTTATTCCCGTGATCGAGAATTGGAGCCAGTTTTGAGTGGGAGAACGAATTCTATGAATTCCAACTGTCGTGGGCAGTTGTGAGCCCTCCCAGAACAGCTGGAGAGTTACCATCGGTTGGACAGGCCGTCACCAAAAACCTCGACTCGACATCGACTGGAAATTCGCTGCGACGCCGCTGTGTTTCGACATCTCGTCGTGGATATCGAAGGAGGCAGGTGCCCATGGTACTTCCATTCCATCTCATTAAGTTTAAGTATTAGTCGCCTTACCTTTTCTTTATTGTATCGCAAAACGTTTCGAAGTTTGGCGTAACTAGCACTCGCACATAACTTAGTAATAACAACCGGTAAGACTGTGACGCTCCGCTCTACGTTGATACCTTCGTACGTTCGTTAGGACTACCGAGCGTGTGGCCTACTTCGTTTATCCCATAGCCCTCGAAATAATTAATCAAATCGTTATTCGTTACGACTCCAACTAATTTATTCGCTTCGTAAACATCGTTCGTATCGCTCGTATTTATCGTTAATTAGTTCGTCGCCTTTCGTAATTAAACTATCGTTCGTATTGCTCGTATTTATCGTAAACCGTTAGTCGCATTAAATCATTATCATTAATATCTTACTCATTTTCTTTTGCTTAATTATTTAGTTATTTCTCACTCTTACTTTTTTTAATTAGTGACCTTAGGTTTTATTGTAATCAAATATTTTAAGTAACAGCTTGCAATTACAATAGTTAAATATTTTTCCGGTTTTTTGTTGTTGTAATTGTGTCTTAATAAAAACTGGTGGCGCCCTGGCGACGTCGCTACACAAAACAGTGTGCTCTCTCTTCTTTGCGAACCTCTAGCGACCTGACCCTTTGCACCCGCAGGAACTCACCCCTTCTCCACTAGCAGGCCGGCAACGAGCTGTGAGTTTGGCTCGTAACAACACGAGAAAGTTTCGGTGGTTGAGAACCAACTGGAAATGTTGGAATGCTTCACCGTGAAGTGCAATAAACATAAATACCGAAAAAAGGGCAAGTCCGAATGCACACCCCAAACATCTGATGTATTGTATAGTAAATACGGAAGTTGAGCATTATTTTCCCATTAGATGAAATAAATTTAATAAAACTAAATATTAAATCACTCTCTAATTTTTTTGGTAACCATCATCACTTTATAAACGTCTTTATAAAATCAAAATTCGACGAAGGAATTCTTCAAAACCTTGTCCCGTTTTAGGGACAATGGACAAAGAATTGTTATTACTCTGTTTGTGTCGTAGGGTCTTTTCACTATTATACGCTCAAGCCCGGATGTTCTGTTTATAATTTGCCAAGCAGGTACTTACAAAATAACACTTCCAGAGTAAATAAGTTTTTAGAAATAATTATTTTATTATAAATTATTAGAATGAAGAAACTTGTCTTTGGTGTATTTCTAATAAAGCCGTTGTATTTTTTGCTCTAAATATAATTAAGCATTATGAAGGCCACTTTTTAAAGAATACGACGACCCACATTTAATTGATCATATAATCTATAAAAAATGACGAAGGAAAGACGGCCTTTTGACGTCATTAATTGACGTCAGAAGTAAGTCATAAAAATCTCGTCATTATCACGTGATTTTTTGGGCGAATGACGTCGCCGACGAGCTATGACCAAAAATTGACGTGAATTAGACGACAGTCTGCTGCTTGGGTAGTGTTGTGAATGGTTGCTCCAATGTGTAATTTATTTCGTCTGTGTGTGTCTTTTTTGTCACGATCGCTCAACGAATGCAGCATTCATGTCTAACAAATGGCAATGCTAGATTCACTGTTCACGCATTCAGGACGCGTTTTTGTATTTGCATCTGTTCGGCGCTTAGAATACAAAATATTCAAAAATTTTAAATTGTCAAGTGCCATGATACCTTTTAACCACTTATGCTCAGAATTAGCAAGAAACGACGTCAAGGCTGTTTTCCATCGTCGAATATTTTTCTCATTATATAGATCCACTCAGTTTGCATAACTAAAATGAACATTTTGTACCAAATCGTGGTTCTCTTGGAGCGTCGAAATGGCTTGTGGTTTAAGTTTGTTCATAGTGTTTTAAACATTTTACAACGATTTTCCATAAACATTCTCTTTTGACAAACTGACAAAGTTTGTTTCAGAGAGGAAGCGGGAAATTTACTGTGACCAAATACTGAAAATGCTAGAAGCATAGCAACTACGAAACTTTTTTTTTCTTGAAAATTGGTACACAGATGGAAAAACACTTAACAAAACCAAAGCACATAACTGAAGCAGGTATCCTTTTGGGAATAGTTGTTGATAGAAAGTGTAAAAATCTGAATTGGAACAAAAATACCGAAGACGGACTGCAACCTTGTCGTATTTTCTGGCTTAATTATAGCTTTTTCAGTTTATTAAAAAAAGTATCATGACATGTGAGGGATATTTTTACTTTGTAGTTGAGATATGTACATATATTGTAGTTTATAAGTTTATTACTAGTAATATAACGGTGATTACTCCAACTAATAAGGATTTCAACAAACCTATGTATCTAAACAGTGTAATCAATCGTTCCTATGTTGTAAATAAGTATGTAAATAATGAATTAATGTGTACATATGTTGAAATAGATTGTTGTTTGTTATCAAACATTTGAATAAAATACATTTCTTGGAATTTTTAATTAAATTGATTTTTATTTTCTTTTATAACATGAACGAAAATTGTTCTTTTAACAAATAAAATATTGTGGACCGACTGGGACAAAAATTTTGTTGAAATTTTGTTAAATTTAACAAAACTTTTCTTACTGTACAGAAAGAGATAAAGAGAACGAGACAGTGTATCAACGAATAAGTAGAATAGAATAATCAACAGAAAGAATTTTAAGAAAAGAAGACGAACACCCGAATACGAATAATGAAAATTTTTATCAAAAAGGGTGTTTAGGACATATTGGAGAGTGTTATAAACAGGGAAGAGATTAGGGATGAGCGGCAATTTTTCGAGAGGTAATTTGTAATGTTCAAAAATTCTTAGGTTTGAATAATATAAATCGAGCTCTTTTATATTGTAGGCCGGTCATCCGGTTTTAACCCGAAACTGATACCAATTAAATGAGTGAGGAATACTGGACAAAAAGTGTTTCTTTTATTCAAAATGAAAAAATAAATTATGTTTTTTTAGAACAGCGGCTACAGCAAGCCCATTCCTCTCCACTACGTGACCTTTTGTAGGTGTCTCCACACTCCACAGTACAGACACTCTGTGTTACCATTGTTTAAGTATATACTTAAACAATGGTGTTACCTTCGTCATTCTCTTCCTCTCAGAGCCTGTCTGAGGTGTCAACAGGTTATGCTTACCTTTTTTTTACTGTTACCTTATCTTTTTTTTCCAAATAAATCTCATCAGATTTTTTCCCGCGACTTGCCTTTTTTTTTGTTTTATTAATTTTTTTGTTAATTTTTTTTTTTTGTTTTAATTTTTCTTTATATGGTGTGCTTGTTAATTCCATAGCAGATTGGGATCGCGTACAAACTAAAATGTTTTTTTTTTATTGACTCAAGGGGTGAGAAATGTCTTCTGCAAGTTTTCATTTTTATACGGACATTTTGGAACGCGGCTTTTGATTATGAAATTACCCCTTAATACTGGAAATATTACATGCTGAATATGACACACACCATAAGAGCCAAACGTGGCGACTCACCTTAAATTGAACCGGTCCAATTTGAGATGCCAAACCAGGTTCAAATTAGGCACCTTTACCAATTTTCTGTCCATCTAACCTCCACAATTTACCTCAGAACTTAACAACTTTATTTTATAGTAAGATACTTTAAAATACAAACATGTAGAAAAATTCAAAAGTACTTAACTACTTACCCTATAAACACAACAAGTTATCACTCTACAAACAAACTAGAATTATAACATGATGAAGTGGAGAAATGTTTAGGTTTTTGAAATGCCAAAATTAACTAAAATGGAAACGACGCGTTTAAGTACTGCAAGGACTGTTTCCACACTTCTACAGATAACATTTTGCGAAAAGTACCAGAGCAGAACTTTTTGGATTAACGAGGAATAAAGAACTGAGTACGACAAATTGATGAATAAAGTAAAAAATGCATAAAATAAATATTTATTTCTATTTTCATCCCTATATCTGCATCAAGCAAAGTTATTTCTTGGAGTGCAATTTATCCAGTACTCGAAAGAGATCCTTGTAAAATAACTCCTCGATGTCTTCAGAAAAAAAGTAATCGTTGTGGCCAAACTTCAACTTCTTGGTATTAGTTCCACTTGGTACCCGAAAATATTCTTTTTCGCTGCTTCCAAGTTTCTCAAAAACTCTTTTCACAGCCTGGAAACAAATATTTTTAACCAGAAAAACCAAAGAATCATACTACATTTCCCTTGATTAATATGTCCCATTTACCATAAAACATGTACACAGGAAGCTTACAGTTAGTCAGATTGTACAAAGAGTGCTGCTCTTGATTATATTTTATACTAGCTGACCCGGTGAACTTCGTTTCACCTACAATTTAATTTTGAATCTGCAAAACCGAATGTTTTGAAAACTTGCAGATGTTTTAAACATATGATAAGCATAATAAATTTTTATTCAAAATATATTTACTTATCCCCTCCAAAAAATTGATGACGTCAGCCCAAAATTTGCCAAATGAATCCTATCTAAAATGTCCAAAATAGGATGAGTCTATAGTCGTGATTTATTATTCCATTCATATTTTTTAGATTTGCTTATATAGGGTGAAAAATTAATGAATGGGTGAATTAGTTTTATTGATTTAATCAGGAACTGCAAAACCGAATACTCTGAAATCTTGGAGATGCTTTAATGTTATCATAAGCATGGTAATTTTTTGATTAAAATGTTTTTGTTCATTCCCCCTAAAAAATTGATGACGTCACCTGAAAATTTTGCTGAATAAATCCTATCTGAAATGTGCAAAATATGATGAGTTGTTACTTATGATTTATCACTGCATTAATATTTTTTTAGTTTTGCTTAAACGGGGTGTCCCAAAACAATTAATCACTGGGTCAATTTATTTTATTGATTGAATCAAGAATTGCAAAACTGAATTTATAAATATTGCAGACGTTTTGAAGTTACTGTTTGACATGGTAGGTTTTTAATCAAAATATATCTGTTTATCAAGCCTAAAAACTTCATGACGTCATCTCAAAAATTTGCCGAATAAATCCTATCTAAAATGTGCAAAATATCATCAGTATATATTCGTAATTTATCATTGCATTCATATTTTTACTTACCGAGCGTAAGCAAAGGAAATATTGTAATCGAGTCCGTCGGCCGACTCTCTCGATTTTTCATGATCCCTAGAAGACGAAGAAATAGGTCTCCCATTTCCGTCTGTCCAGGGACGGATGGGCCGGTCGGGAATTCGGGAAAAATCCCGAAGGGCCGATCGAATTGGGCAAGTCTGGGCCGGTCAAATTGGTTAAATCCAAATTAACTGATTTGAAACACGCCTGCGAACAAGGAAATCGGAATGACTTATTTCTTGGAAATAAGTCGGTACAGGCACAGTAACATATCTTCGACAGCGGTCAGCTCTTTTAAAATCGCATAAATTGCTCAAACCCTAGCACGTGTTAAACACACCACCAACACTCCCCAGATCTCTGCTTCCCTTGTTTCTTCAGCAGTGTTCCATTCAAAATAGAGCTGACTACATTGCAATAATTACCACTGACAAATATTTTATTTTAAAGTGATCGCAGTATTCGTAGTTTACTAGTTCAGATCAAAAACATACTTTACTTCAGTTTAAACAATAATTTACGTGTCGATTTGATATTAGTGACTACTTATAGTGATTAATCAATTTAGGTAAATCCTTTCTCTAGTTTATTTTTCCGCCTATTTAGTATTTTTATTTATAGATAATATAGGTACAGTCCGCTCAAAAGTGCTTATACAAACTTTGATCTTCAACTGCAAAATCACAACAACAAGCGGACTGACAAAAATAGACCTAATTATAGTTCATTGGATAAAGGCAGCAACAAAACCAAAGCAAGGGGCGGCGCTGAAAAAGAAAGAGAGAGAAAAAAGCGAAGACTGATGGACGAAGCAAAAACTTGTAGGACGTTAACAAGCATGTTCCTAAAAACACCAGCTTCCGAAAATCAAAAATACAATTTTCCTTCGACCTCTAAGATCTGCGATTATACAACCGCAGAACATCAAGAAGCTAATGAGACAGAACATGCTAAAATTATCAATTATATTCCTAGTGAATTGCGTTGTGAAAAAGATGAAAATGTGGCGGCAAAAGAGAACACTCCAACTGAGAATTATTCGGATGATTACGACTTTTTTAAAAGACCGGACGTTATGGAACTGAATATGTTTTTTAATCATCATCCTGTCATCCCAAAAAATCAAATAGGATTGCCTTTTAAAGTTGGTAAGACTTTTAAACGCGAAAATGGAACTAATAGAGTATGGTTGACCTACAGTTTCTCGAAAAAAGCGTTATTTTGTTCAGTTTGTTTAGCTTTTGAAAGCAAAGAAACAAATAGCTTTAACTCTAACTGCGGCATGGTGGATTGGAAACATGTTTACCAGCGAATTGAAGAACACGAACGAACTATTCTACACGGGAAAAATTGTGATGCATATTTTATGCACCTGAAGAATAAAACTATAGACAAGTTATTATACACAAGCGCAATCAGGAAGTGATCAACAATCGACAAATATTAAGTACTATTATCAACGTCATTAAATTTATAGGCAAGACAGGCCTTTCTTACAGAGGAAATATAAATGAGGCCGCATATTCATTAGAAAATGAAAATATTGACCATGGAAATTTTCTTGAAATAGTTTTATTAACATCCAAATATGACATAATTTTGAAAAAACATCTGGATGTAATCATCAAAGCCAGCAAAAGAGCTCATGAAAAAGGTAACACCCGAAGAACTGGAAATTTTTTAACATTCCTATCAAAGACTACAATAAATTCAATAATCTCTATTATAACTAAAATTATGAAAAAGAAAATGTCAGTGGAGATTTTAGAAGCCGAAATGTTTTCTGTTGAAATAGATTCTACGCAAGATATTTCCACAAAGGAGCAATGCTCGGTTGTTATAAGGTAAGATAGTGAAATTTTTATATATGTAGCATTAAACATTAACATTTTTGTATTTTTGCCAGATACGTTTACATGGGAAATATTATCGAACGATTATTTTCGCTAATTCGATGTACCGATACAACTGGAAAAGGTTTTGAGGCTCTTGTCTTAAATGTATTGGAAAGTAATGGCTTAAATCCTCAAAACTGTATTGCAAATTCGACAGACGGCGCGGCAAATATGCAGGGTGAATATAATGGTTTTTCTGCAAAAATGCAAAACCTCAATTCAGACCATGTGCACATTTGGTGTTACAGTCACATCCTAAATCTAGTCCTGTGTGATATATATTGAATGCAAATTTAAAAGCTGCTTCACTTTTTTCTTTATTAAACTCGATATCTTCTTTCTTTAAAGAATCTTATTAACGTATGAACATTTGGGAGTCTAATAATTCTACTGATTCAAAACAAAGAAAGATTCAAAGTATTGGTGCAACCCGTTGGTGGGCTAAGGAACTGGCGCTTAAGAAAGTATTTGGAGATTTTAACAAACCGGAAAACAGTTTATATGTTGTTGTTATTGATACTTTGGAAAAAATTGAAAAAAATGATAAAATTAACCCTGACACCAGGGTTACAGCTAAAAATCATAAGGATAATTTATTGAAATACGAAAATATAATCACTGCGCAAATATTTTTAAAGATTTTTAGTATAACTGGTCCTCTGTCAAGATATCTGCAAACTAGAGGATTAGATCTTCTTAAATGTAACCACATGTTAGAGACGACTATCGAACAACTGAGGTCTATACAGAGAGATTTTATCTCTATCCAGGAGGCTACAAACACATTTTTACGTTGGGCTAAATTAGAGTTAGAGTCAAAAGACATAGATGCAGATATACAGGAACATTTCACTAACGTACGTCGAAGATACGTAAAAAAATTTTATGAAGAAAAATCAATTGATGAGCAGCCACAATCTCCAGAAGAAAGATTTAAGATATCTACTTTTAACATGTTGATGGACATTGCGGTTGAAGCCATGAATAATCGATTTTTAAAAAATATGGATATATGTAGGGATATGGCAATATTAGATCCCAATAATTTTGAAGAAATTTGTAACAAAAAAAGTTTGCCAGACAACTGCATGAAGTACTTGTCCGCGAAAATAATAAAATATAATTCGACTGCAACTTCTTCCCAGTTAAAAGAGGAGCTGTTAAGTTTTGCCTCAAATTGGGAGAAACTAAAATTAACTTTGGAGGATACGTACAAGACAAATTACGATCTAGATCTACATATCATTGAGGACGACTACGATGATGAGGATGGTATCGATACTGTAAATTTACCTAATTCTTCCGAAATTACGGATGTTAAACTCAAAAAAAAATATTTGCAAGAGTTGCAAAAACTGTGCAATATGTTGCTACACTGTTATTTTGAAATATAACATGTTCCAGGGGGCATATTGTGCACTTGCTACAGCGTATCAGTATCTCCTAACACTTCCAATAACTCAAGTGGAGTGTGAGAGATCGTTCTCAGTTCTGAAATATATTAAAAATAGATTAAGAAATAGATTAACAGATGACCGACTGGAATCTTTCGTCATCATGAATATGGAAAAATCCATTTTAAACACAGTTGATAATGAAGAAGTCATTAACAGTCTTGCGGCAGAGAGTAGTTTGTTAAAAAAAGCTTTAATATATTAGATTACATAGTTGTTAGTTCGATTTTGCTAATTTTTTGTGAAATATAGGTTTTATTTTTTGTGAAATGCATTTTTTTTTGTAAAGAGTGAATATCTTTTTCACATTACTCATGATTAATTATGTCTGACAAATATCGGTTTCCTCCGCAACAAAAATAAAAAAATTACTTTTCAGTCTGGGCCGTACTTGTTATTTTCCCGGGCCGGAAGACTGTACCCCATCCGTCCCTGCGTCTGTCTGTCCGTCTGTCCTTCTGTCTGCCATCCCGGATTTTTATTAGGCAGATAATCTCCGAAACTACTGGACCGATTGTTGTGAAATTTTGTACATATATTAGAAATATCATGTACATGGTAAAACGCTAACCAAAATTTGTCTAATCATCCCCACCACTAATGCGATGACGTCACTTCAAAATTGTACATAGTAAATGGGTCTTAAATTGTATAAAATAACATAGTCCTACACATTTGGTTTACGACTCCGAATTGAGTTTTTACCCGAAACGTATCAAAATTATAAAACAACATTTTGAAATTTAATTTTGAATCTGCTAACCTGAATGTTTTGAAATGTTGCAGATGTTTTAAGGCTATCTTTATTCAAAATATATTTGGTTATCCCCTTCAAAAACTTGATGACGTCAGTTCAAAAGTTTTTTTTTTTTTTAAAGGAATTGGAAGTGAATGTGGAAAAATCAAAAATGGTGATAAGACAGGAGAAGGAAGAGTGGGCATGGAGAGGGAAGTAGATTGAACAGGTGAAAGAATTCCAGTACTTAGGATATACATTAAAGAGCAAAAACGCATATTCAAGAAATGGTCCGAAAAGCGAACAAAGTGATTGGAACAGTACGGGGAACAGGAGAGAGAAAAGTTGGACATGATTATAAGAGAAGAATGATGATGTTTGATAGTTTGATCAAAAGTGTATTTATGTATGGAGCTAAGATTGGAGATGGAGGGAATATGAAGAAATAGAGAGAGTGCAAGAAAAATACTTGAAATAGACATTGGGATTGGAAAAGCATACGCCGGGGTATAGAGTGAGAGAAGAAACAAAAAGGGAGAAAATGAGAGTGGAAGCGGGTAAAAGGGCGGTTGGATTTGAAGAGAAGTTCAGTGAGAGATGTGATTGAAAAATATTGCAAGGATGTTGGAAAGAAATAAGAAAGGAAGGGGGAAAACATGTTTGGAACGAAAGAGACAAGTATTATGGAGGAAAGCGATATGCATCCGAAGAAATAGAGAGAATGAGAGAAATGGGAGTATGACAGAAGAACTGAGTGAAAGAGATAAGGATATAGATAAGCAAGAACGCAGAGCGAGAATATCGGAGTCTAGATATAATAATAATAATAATATTAATATAAGACAATTGAATCTAATGAGAAAATAGTAAGAGAACTGGATGGGCTAGAAACGGAAATAACAGCTGCCAAGGAGAGAGTAGAAAAGCTAGTACAAGGTATTAAAATAAATGAAAACAAACAGAGAATTTTAATTAAGGCAATGAAAAATTTTATGGACAAAGAATTAGGAGTAAAGGTAGAAGTAAACACAGTAAGGAAGTTGAGGGAGGAAATTGCTGCAGTTGAATTGAACAACATCCAAGATAAAATGAAAATAAAGGAAAACAAAAGTAAATTAAAAAACAGAAATGACGAACCAATTTACACAAATGATGACATGACAAAGGAAGAAAGAATAATACAAAGGGAAGAATAGCACAACTAGAAAGAAAGAAAGGGAAGAGAATCAAGGTAGAATATCAAAAGATCATATAGGGAGAAACATTGAGATAAAATAAGAAAAAAAATGGGATTGATATAGACAAAAAGAAAGAATTAAAAAACTAGACAAGACAGAAAAAAACTCGGAAAGAACGAAGACGATATGGAGAGATAAAAGAACACGAAATGGAAAAACAACAAAAAAAGCAGCAGGAAATGGGAATAAAGTTGATAGAACAGTAATTAAATTGGGGACATGGAACGTAAGAGGTACTTACGAAGAAGGAGCTCTGAGAAACCTGATAGACACAGAGGAAAAATGTCGGCTCTACAAGAAACAAAGCAGCAAGGAAATGAAGTTATGGAGATAAGAAAAAACGTATTCTTTAAAAGTAGAGGAAACAAAAGGTACTTTGGGACTGGATTCATAGTGAATGAAAGGATGAAGAAGACCGTGATGACTTCAAATCAATATCTGACAGAATGCGTTAATAAGAATCCGAGTAAAATATAGAATAAAAAATGAATTTTATGAAACGATTGCAGATATAATAAGACAAATTCCAAAATATGACATAAAAATATTTATCGGAGACACAAATGCAAAAGTAATAACAGAGAAGACCTCCGGCATATCACCGGAGGAAAGTCTTTCTTGGTTAAAATTAAAGAAAACACGATTATTATTTGAAATAAAAATAAATAAAATCAAGAACTTGTGCTTTCATTGTAAATAAGTAAATCAGGTAAGTTCTACAAAAATTCTAAAATATATAAAGTATCATTAAAAAAAGTTGATGTAGAAAAACACGCTTGTATTTTTATTTTAAAGGAAAAATATATTTAAAAATGAAGCACATTTTTTCTAATCTATATATTTTTTTTCTTTTTATTTTTTAATTTGTAAATTATTCCACAATTCGTTTATTTTTAACATATACCTATTAAAACACTGTAGTTCGGAGCAATACACGGTTTAATCCAGCCCATCGATAATTTGATCAGCTGGAACTTTTTCCAAAATGCTTCTAAGCAATGCATCAAAAAATGGGTCATAAACATTCAAAAACCCATGAATAAACTCCCAGGCTCCCTCCCAATTTTTATACATTTCCGAGTTTAACGCATCCGTTAGATTTTGATTTTCAAAGACCTTAGTGAAAATATATTTCGCCCTCTTGGGTTCAAGTACAACCTTAGTACTAATCAGTTTAAAATATCCGTTCCCTTTTTTAGGTTTTTGGATTTTGTATGTTACTTTAATCTTCCCCCCTTTCACAAATTCGCAACGAAATGATGACAACACGTCAACCGGGAGGAGAAGAACTGCGCCGTGGGCTTCATAGTTGGAGGCGAAAACTAGCGTACGGTCGTAGCTCACTTCGAGATCTAAGGTGATGACAGAGCCACAAGTCCAGCTAGTGAAGAAATAAATCAATAGCACACAAAATTTTATACTCCATTGTAAATGATAACCTGGCATCTGTAGCAACGGGTTTGCTCAAGCCATAAACTGTTACATTGCTCCAAATTTGATGTAAACCCTCAGAAGCATTCCCTACTTCCATCGTTAGAGTTTCCATCCAAAATGGATCTATGCTGTGTAGACCCAGTTCAGGAATTGGGTCTTTCAATTGCTGGATGGCGTTCTGGACGGCGTCGCTCAAGCACTTTTTAAAATCCGACTGCTTTATGTTGCATTTTTTGAAACTAGGTGCTTAAAAACGAAAAATTGGAGGGAAAAATTGATTATAAAAATTATAAATTTACGTAGTTCCGCACAGTAAGAGAAAGTCAAAATTATCAAAACACAGACAGATGCGATTGTGGTTTTCATGTTTAAGAAGAGCAGTTTGCAACTACCTCTGTTCTACGATATCGCGTTTTTATATTATTGTCTCTCGGTCGTCAGTCACTCTTTTCAGGGAGAAATTTGTTGTTTTCTTGAGTGTAAGATGGTTTGGCGATTAAAGTATTAACATAGTCGAGACGAACGGATTTAAAAGATGTTTGTGTTAATTTGGTCATATTGTTGTAGGCTATTCAAATAAAAATTAATGCGATAAACGCCTAACGGAAATATTAAGTAATTCCGGTGCATGTGCATTGCGATAAGATAAGTTTTTTATTATAATTTGTAAATAAAATGTTTGTGCTCTGGGTTTGTTGTGGTGTTTTTAATGTAGTTCTGACTTATCTGTTTAACGTATCTTCTTTACAAATAACGATAAAAAACAGGATTGCGATTACGTTATTTCAGTTTATTTATAGATATTTTAATTTTCATAGTAAGTAGTATATAACTTTTATATTTTTATTCGAATCCTCAATTGTCCAGTTTTTAACGAATCAGTTTGTAAATTTTTAACTTTCCGATTATCAGAGTTTTCTTTTCACAGTTGTTCGATTTAACTGGACTTCGTACCAAATAGACTTATTACGATAAATTATGATCTGTAGAAGATGTGGATTTTATAGAAAGAAATTCAATAATATTTTTGTATACGAATAATATGTGTAGACTTCTTTTCACAACAGGATACTTGAAACATGTTTAAATTGGAAAATTTGTACAAGGAAATATCGATTTTGCAGTTAGGCTCCATTTTCCAAACTTAACTAAATAAATACATTTTCTTGTAGATTTTGAGATCTGGAACTCACTTCCGACCTCGTTTCTTTGATAGCTCTAGCAGTTTTTCGAGAATCAGCCCTTGAAATATCGAAATTTTTCGAATTTAAAACCAAACATTTTGGAAATGTTGCTCGATGAACATACAAACGTTATATTTTTGAAATCAGCAGGTCGAGATCTATGTACATCCCTGAATTTTTTGAAAATTTTTTGAGAACTTTTGTAACAGTGAAATTTTTCCAATACTAGAGGGTATGTGATTTGCCCGAATTACTTTTATCTTAGCATAAATTAAAGCCCGCCCACCCACCCCCTATCTTCTTTGAGGGTATGTGATTAGCTAAAATCAGTCTTACCTTTGCAAGTACTAAAAAAAATAAAAAATTGAAAAATTACAAATCAAAAAATAAGTCTATCTTAGCAAGTACTAACAAAAAAATTAAAAATCGAAAAATTAAAGAAACGAAAAATTGAAAAAACCAGAAAATGAGAAATTAAAAATTGAAAACTCCTGAAATTGCAAATAAAAAAATTGCAGAATTTGAAACTGAAACATCCAAAAATTGGAAAATCGAAAAACTGAAAAATTCTTAAATGAAAACTCGAAGAGTCGCATATCTTAAAAATAAAAAAACAAAAAAATAAACACTGAAAAATCGAACATGTGAAAAAACAACGAAACAAAAATCGAAAAATTGCAAAATATAAAAATTGAAAAAATCAAAGTGAAATGGAAACAAGAAGTGGGCGGAGCTGAGTTTCGGTTTTTCTAAAGAGTTTTATAATTATATGCAAACACAGCCCCGCCCACCGACTCTCTCTTCCAGTGACTACTCTTAATATTCTATCTTACCTTGGCAAGTACTAGCCCCGCCCACCTACCCTCTATTTTCTTAGAGGATATGGTGATTTGCCAAAATTGGTTTTATCTTAGCATGTACTAATTTCTTTGATAACTCCAACAGTTTTTCGAGAATCGGCCATTGAAACACCGAATTTTGGAGTTTTAAAAAAAATTTTCTATAGGAAAATCTGCAAAGTTTATAGAAAAAAAAACGAAAACTATATTAAAAAAACCTTAACGATATTAATGAAAAGCTCTGCTTTAAAAACACAAGAATATGAAAAAAAAGGAAAAATCTGACGAGAAAGAGTTGAATTTTTGATATGAAAATTTTTACAAAAATTGCAAAATGTCAGTAACGCACTTTGGGTTTTCACAAACATTCAATTATATTAACAAGAAATTGACATCTTGAAATAAACCCAGAATTTAAAGCAACATGACAATCTCAAAAAAAATGAGAACAAAAAAAAAAATCAGTTAACAAAAATTTAAAGAATTAGATTTTGAAAAAAGCGATCAAAATCCGATAAAATCTTCAAAAAAGCAAACAAAAAATATCTCAGGAAAAAGGTTCACGATTTCGATTAAAGTGCAGCATAAAAACACAGGTTTTGAAAAATGAAAACAAGGCGGAAATCTAAAAAAAGAAACAGAAAAATCTACTAGGAAAATATGCAAAGTTTATACGAATAAAATTTTAACAAGTGAGAAACAGAAAAATCCACTTTTCAACACAAAATCAATATCGTAAAAGGAACGTCCACATTTTGACAAAACATTGAAAATAGTAAAAACATCTGGGAAAAAAACGAAAACTATACTAGGAAAAGCTTTACGATTTTGAGCAAAAGTTCGGCTTTAAAAACACGGAAATACGAAAAAAAATATTAGAAGAGAAAAACTCAAATTTTTGATATGAATATTTTGAGAAAAATTACAACATCTCTACAATTCACCTTGGGGCTTTAACAAACATTCCATTACATTAACAAGAAATTATTAACATTTTGAAATAAAACCAGAATTTAAAATAATATGAAAGTTTAAAAGAAATTAAAAAAAAAACATTTAAAATCCAATAAAATCTTCAAACAAAAAATATGTATCTAGAACTCACTCCCGACTTTGTTCCTTTGACAACTGCAACAGTGTTTTCAGAATCGACCTTCAAAATACCGCGATAAACTCATTCGAATCAAATAAATGTCTACGTAACATTCTTCCGATGTAAAGTATTCCCGTTGACTTGTTTCGGTAAATATCCTGGCCGATCTACATATAATTTTTCTAAGAATTAGAAGTTACATATGTAGATGTTGAATTTAGAGAAAGGAATTCCATAATGTCTGTGTATAAGAATAATATATTTTCCTAATTTCTTTTAAGGTTTTACCAATTATGAATTAAAATAAATATATTAATCCAATTTTTAGCTACAGTACTTACATTTTCCAAACACAAGATTCATGAAACTTACATTATTTAAAAATTATATAGAAATAAATACATAGAAAATACTCTTTCCTAAACACCACTACTTTAAGGAATCATGTATATGTATATTTTAGTCACAACTATCGTAATAGATTTCCGTTTCCAAGTTACCCAACACATCTTCCAGAATTCGTTCCAAATATGGATTTTTGCCCATATTCATATGGTCTGCATCAGTCAAAATTCCAATTTTCAACTTTTCCAATTCCCGTCGCGTGTACTCGAAACTTCCAAAACTTTCCAGTATGTCGACAAAAAGTTTCTTACTTTCCATATCCAATGGTCTTGGTTTTAACATATCTAAAATGGAGAATTAAGAAAATAGAACGTAATCTTTGATGAAGAATTGTGCGTAAAGGATACCCAAAAGCCGATGATCATTCGGGTGACTTAGAATACCATGAATCATAGGAAAGGTGAATTTTCCCTCGTCAAGATCGTCACAGAAGACACGAACAGTGGCGTACTGAAACGAAAATTATTTAAACACAATTTAAAAACTGTAAATGATTTCCAGACCTTAGCGCTGTGTAAATTAATGTTTTCGTCATATATTTGAAAAACTAGGCCTATTTTAGTGTATAGATCTTCACTAAAGTGTCTCTAAAATAGATTTCCATTCCTTATCCAGTGAAAAATTTGATCCCCAACGTAATAAAATCATCAACGGCGATGTCCTAAATGAGAACGGAAAGAATAAAACGAGCAGAAAATTTTAACATTAGGTACCTTCCTATTTTCTACATAACGTAGTAAATTTTGCATTATTAGAAAAGTCTTGTGTAATGCAGCACGAATAGTTAGCGGAACTCCATAAACCATATGTGCTGAAGGAAGTCCTCTACGAAGTATCGTTCCATCCTGAATATCATCTAGTCTGCAGAAAATTCATTAAATAAATTGTAAAGAATTCTATGAGTACAACATGAACTTACACAATAGTCGCATCGTGTAATGCATTTCCAAAGTCGGCGCAGATTTTCACTGCGTCGGGGGGACTCTTAATCCAATTATTATTAAAGGAACAAACGAATATTTTCAAAAGGTTACGATTTTCTGGTCCCGCATGTAGAATATGGTCGGTAGGTCGTGTTACTATCTAAGACCTTGTCAAAATAGAATTAATTTTAGTTAGGTGGCTACATCACCTCTTCCACTCGGATCTGCATATCAGTTTTGTTAATTGTTGCCATCTTCAACGACTGATGGTATTTTTTTGATCTAAACGTGTAAAAAACTTTGGAAAGGTGGCGTATATATAGTGTCGGGAACAAGTTTTCAAACCGAATAGATGGTTATTTGTTCCATTTATTATTATTATAATCTCTGGTATTATAGAGCTTTCCAATTATTGTTTGCAGTCGTTGTAAAAGTCGCCAATTATAAGTTAATTCATGTCAATTTCAAACTGCTTGCGACAAACCTATATTTTGGGCGGGTTTAGAACTTTGATTTGATCAACTACTTAGTTTAGTCAGTGAAATTAGAATTCTATGAATTGTACTACGTAGAGAACAACCACAAATATTTTTAAAATGAGGTTCATAGAAATGATAGGATACCAATATTTGCAGGGATATTTTCAGTAATCTTTATAGCACACTAGAGAGATAAATAGTTGAAATAACAAGCCATATACACCATATTCGTTTTAGCATGTTCTAGGTGAGTAATCGCGGTAGATAGTTCTACTACTGTGATTTGTAAAGATCCTACTTACAATAACGATTGTCCATTTAAAAAATTCATCACGTTAACATTGCCATTTTGGTGGACAGCTGTCATCGATCATAAATTTGAATTTCAGCGCATCTGTGATTCATCAGTAAAGCTCAGAATTATATCCAGAAAAAAACACGTTAATATGCACATATATATGCAGAGAAATTTGGCCTTATATGCAAAAAATTGCTAAAATATGCAAGAAATATATGCAAAATATGAAAGAAAAATTACTTGTTTTACACATTAATATTTTATTTCTATCTTTCTTTCTCGATTTTTATTTTGGAGTCCTTGTATTTTTTTCGAAATTTTACTAAATGCATTTTCTTGTAGATTTCGGGCCGCAGAATTCATATCCGCTTTCATTTCCTCGATAACTCCAACGGTTTTTCCAGAATCGTCCCTTGAAATATACAAAATATGCAAAATACCATCAATTTTCAACCAATTTTCAACGAAATTTTCGAAATTTTACTAAATACATTTTCTTGTCGATTTCGGACCGCAGAAGTCATTTCCGCTTTCATTTCTTCAATAACTCCAACGGTTTTTCCAGAATCGTCCTTTGAAATGTACAAAATATACAAAATACCACCAATTTTCAACGAAATTTTCGAAATTGCACTAAATGCATTTTTTTGTAGATTTCGGGCCGCAGAAGTCATATCCGCTTTCATTTCTTCGATAACTCCAAGGGTTTTTCCAGAATCGTCCTTTGAAATTTATAAAAATAGGTAAAGTACCACCAATTCCCCACCAATTTTCAACGAAATTTTCGAAATTGCACTAAATATATTTTTTTGTAGATTTCGGGCCGCAGAGTCATATCCGCTTTCATTTCTTCGATAAATCCAATGGTTTTTCCAGAATCGTCCTTTGAAATATACAAAATATGCAAAAACCACCAATTTTCGACCAATTTTCAACGAAATTTACGAAATTTTACTAAATCGATTTTCTTGTAGATTTAGGGCTGCAGAAGTCATATCCGCTTTCATTTCTTCGATAACTCCAATGCTTTTTCCAAAATCGTCCTATGAAATACAGCCTGTTATTGAAAGGTACGTACAAAATAAAATCGGCAATTGGTGTCAAAGTATGGGTGCTAAAAGTTAAAAAAAGTTCAGGTTAAAGTGTTCTCCTTTTAGAGATAAAAATTATTAAAATTTATTACCAAATTCGTTGTACGCCTCTGATAAAAAGATCATCTTTCGTTTCTATAGCAACATTTAGTCTTGACAAAAGTTTTATTGTTACAGTTGCTAGGATTTACTAAAATAAATTAATTTTACCTATTTATCCTTCAGTAGCGTCTAAAAAGGTTGGATAAGGGTTAATTTTCCCCTTATAATTTTGATAATACAAAATAAGTTTTTCCGACTTCTTATACTTCGCGAAGAACTGTCCATTTTGTTGTACGTACCTTTCAATAACACCCTATATACAAAATATGCAAAAAAAAACAATTTTCGACCAATTTTCAACGAAATTTTCGAAATTTCACTAAATGCGTTTTCTTGTAGACTTCGGGCCCCAGAAGTCATATCCGCTTTGATTTCTGGATAACTCCAATGGTTTTTCCAGAACCGTCCTTTAAAGTACACAAAATATGCAAAATACCACCAATTTTCGACCAATTTTCAACGAAATTTTCGAAATTTCACTGAAAGCATTTTTTGTAGATTTCAGGCCGCAGAAGTCATATCCGTTTTCATTTCTTCGATAACTTCAATGGTTTTTCCAGAATCGTCCTTTGAAATAGACAAAATATGCAAAATACCACCAATTTTCCACCAATTTTCAACGAAATTTTCGAAATTTTACTAAATACATTTTCTTGTCGATTTCGGACCGCAGTTATTTCCGCTTTCATTTCTTCAATAACTCCAACGGTTTTTCCAGAATCGTCCTTTGAAATGTACAAAATATACAAAATACCACCAATTTTCAACGAAATTTTCGAAATTGCACTAAATGCATTTTTTTGTAGATTTCGGGCCGCGGAAGTCATATCCGCTTTCATTTCTTCGATAACTCCAAGGGTTTTTCCAGAATCGTCCTTTGAAATTTATAAAAATAGGTAAAGTACCACCAATTCCCCACCAATTTTCAACGAAATTTTCGAAATTGCACTAAATATATTTTTTTGTAGATTTCGGGCCGCAGAGTCATATCCGCTTTCATTTCTTCCATAAATCCAATGGTTTTTCCAGAATCGTCCTTTGAAATATACAAAATATGCAAAAACCACCAATTTTCGACCAATTTTCAACGAAATTTACGAAAATTCACTAAATCGATTTTCTTGTAGATTTAGGGCTGCAGAAGTCATATCCGCTTTCATTTCTTCGATAACTCCAATGCTTTTTCCAAAATCGTTATATGAAATATACAAAATATGCAAAAAAAAACAATTTTCGACCAATTTTCAACGGAATTTTCGAAATTTCACTAAATGCGTTTTCTTGTAGACTTCAGGCCCCAGAAGTCATATCCGCTTTGATTTCTGCGATAACTCCAATGGTTTTTCCAGAACCGTCCTTTAAAGTACACAAAATATGCAAAATACCACCAATTTTCGACCAATTTTCAACGAAATTTTCGAAATTTCACTGAAAGCATTTTTGTAGATTTCAAGCCGCAGAAGTCATATCCGTTTTCATTTCTTCGATAACTTCAATGGTTTTTCCAGAATCGTCCTTTGAAATATACAAAATATCCAAAATACCACGAATTTTTGACCAATTTTCAACTAAATTTTCGAAATTTCACTAAATGCATTTTCTTGTAGATCTCGGGCCACAGAAGTCATATCCGCTTTCATTTCTTCGATAACTCCAATGCTTTTTCCAAAATCGTCCTTTGAAATATACAAAACATGCAAAAACCACCAATTTTCGACCAATTTTCAACGAAATTTTCAAAATTTCACTAAATGCATTTTTTTGAAGATTTCGGGCTGCAGAAGTCATATCCGCTTTCATTTCTTCGATAACTCCAATGGTTTTTTCAGAATCGTCCTTTGAAATGTATAAAAATAGGTAAAATACCACCAATTTCCCACCAATTGTCAACGAAGTTTTCGAAATTTCACTAAATGCATTTTCTTGTAGATTTCGGGCAGCAGAAGTCATATCCGCTTTCATTTCTTCGATAACTCCAATGGTTTTTCCAGAATCGTCCTTTGAAATGTATAAAAATAGGCAAAATGCCACCAATTTCCCACCAATTCAACGAAATTTTCGAAATTTCACTAAATGCGTTTTCGTGTAGATTTAGGACCGCAGAAGTCATATCCGCTTTCATTTCTTCGATAACTCCAATGCTTTTTCCAGAATCGTCCTTTGAAATATACAAAATATGCAAAACACCACCAATTGTCGACCAATTTTCAACAAAATTTTCGAAATTTCACTAAATGTATTTTTTTGTAGATTTCGGACCGCAGAAATCATATCCGCTTTCATATCTTCGATAACTACAATGGTTTTTCCAGAATCGTCTTTGAAATGTACAAAAATATGCAAAATACCACCAATTTTCGACCAATTTTCAACAAAATTTTCGAAATTTCACTAAATGCATTTTTTTGTAGATTGCGGGCCGCTGAAGTCATATCCGCTTTCATTTCTTCGACAACTCCAATGTTTTTCCAGAATCTTTGTTTGAAATATACAAAATATGCAAAAACCACCAATTTTCGACCAATTCTCAACGAAATTTTCGAAATTTCACTAAATGCATTTTCTTATAAATTTAGGGCCGCAGAAGTGATACCCGCTTTCATTTCCTCTATAACTCCAATGGTTTTTCCAGAATCGTCTTTGAAATGTACAAAAATTTGCAAAATATTACCAATTTCCCACCAATTTTCAACAAAAGTATCAAAATTTCACTTAATACATTTTCTTGTAGATTTCGGCCCGCAGAAGTCATCTCTGTTTTCATTTCTTCGATAACTACAATGGTTTTCCTAGAATCGTCCTTTGAAATATTCAAAAATATGCAAAATAACCCCAATTTTTCACCAATTTTCAACGAAATTTTCGAAATTTTACTAAATGCATTTTCTTGTAGATTTAGGGCCGCAGAAGTCATATCCGCTTTCTTTTCCTCTATAACTCCTATGGTTTTTCCAGAATCGTGCTTTGAAATATTAAAAAATATGCAAAATATCAATTTTCGACCAATTCTCAACTAAATTTTCGAAATTTCACTAAATGCATTTTCTTGTAGATTTCGGGCCGCAGAAGTCATATCTGCTTTCATTTCTTCGATAACTCCAATGGTTTTGCCAGAATCTTCCTTTGAAATATACAAAATATGCAAAAACCACCAATTTTCAACGAAATTTTCGAAATTTCACTAAATGCATTTTCTTGTAGATTTAGGGCCGCAGAAGTCATATCCGCTTTCATTTCCTCGATAACTCCAATGGTTTTTCCAGAACTGTCCTTTGAAATGTACAAAAATTTCCAAAATATCACCAATTTTCAAAGAAATTTTCGAAATTTCACTAAATGCATTTTCTTGTAGATTTCAGGCCGCAGAAGTCATATCCGCTTTCATTTCTTCGATAAGTCCAAAGGTTTTTCCAGACTCGTCCTTTGAAATATTCAAAAGTATGCAAAATAACCCCAATTTCCCACCAATTTTCAACAAAATTTTCGAAATTTCACTTAATACATTTTCTTGTAGATTTCGGGTCGCAGAAATCATATCCGTTTTCATTTCTTTGATAACTCAGATGGTTTTCCCAGAATCGTCCTTTGAAATATTCAAAAATATGCAAAATAACCCCAATTTCCCACCAATTTTCAACAAAATTTTCGAAATTTCACTAGATGCATTTTCTTGTAGATAAAAGTCCGCAGAATTCATCTCCGCTTTCATTTCTTCGATAACTCCAACGATTTTTCCAGAATTGTCTTTTGAAATGTACAAAATATACAAAATACCACCAATTTTCAACGAAATTTTCGAAATTTCACTAAATGCATTTTTTTGTAGATTTCAGGCCGCAGAAGTCATATCCGTTTTCATTTCTTCGATAACTTCAATGGTTTTTCCAGAATCGTCCTTTGAAATATACAAAATATGCAAAATACCACCAATTTTCGACCAATTTTCAACGAAATTTTCGAAATTTAACTAAATACATTTTCTTGTTGATTACGGGCAGCAGAATTCATATCCGCTTTCATTTCCTCGATAACTCCAATGGTTTTTCCAGAATCGTGCTTTGAATTGTACAAAAATTTGCAACATATCATCAATTTTCGACCAATTTTCAACGAAATTTTCGAAATTTCACTAAATGCATTTTCTTGTAGATTTCGGGCATCAGATGCCATATCCGCTTTCATTTCTTCGATAACTCCAATGGTTTTTCCAGAATCGTCCCTTGAAATTTATACAAAATATGCAAAATCCCACCAATTTTCGACCAATTTTCAACGAAATTTTCGAAAGTTCACTAAATGCATTTTCTTGTAGATTACAGGTCGCAGAAGTCATATCCGCTTTTATTTCTTCGTTAACTCCAATGGTTTTTCCAGAATCAGAATTTTAATTCATAATTAAAATTTTTCGATTTTTCAATTATACAATTCAATTTCTCAACTCAAATTAAAATTGTTTGTATTTTTGATTATTTCATTGATAGAAACTTGTGTTTTTCGTTTTTCCGATTTTTCGCTTTCCCGATTTTTAATTAATTAGGGTTTTCAGATTTTAATATTACAATTTTTCGGTTTTTCCATTGTTTTTTCAATTACCCACTTGTTTAATTTCTCATTTTTTTCATTTTTAGATGTTTCGATTTTAAATTTTTCGATATTTCAAGTTTCCGCGTTTATATTAATAGCGACTTTTTTACTGCGAGGAAGTAAATGGAGAGCATTTTAAACATCTTTTTTAGAAAACAGAAGTTTCATTTTGGTTTCGGTTATTATTGGTTAATTTATTTAATTATCGTTTAACAATTTATTTTGCCATTTCAATCAGAAAGAAAGTATGATTTGAATTAATTCAGAAAAAAAAACTGTGTTCAAAAATGCATTTCAAAAATTAAAAGTGCCATTTAAAAAAACTGAGTTGAGCTTGGATCTTGAAGGCAAATTTAACCGTTTGCCTACATTCTAGCGACCTGTATATTTTGTTAATTTTCTCTAGGGTTTCACTTTTATAAATTATACATTTGTTTTATTCAGAATTTTAAATCATTTTCATCATATAATTTTTACCTGTAATGCATGAAACTTAAATTTTTTTGCCAACCCTTACAAATTATATATTAAAAAAAACTTAAAAAAGTAAATACATTACATAGAAATAGATACACAGAAAATGGTCGTTCTAAACACAACTACTCTGCATTTTTTAGTCACAATCATCGTAATAGATTTCCGTTTCCAAATTACCCAACACATCTTCCAGAACTCGTTCCAATTGTGGATTTTTTCCCATATTCATGTTGTCTACATCAATCAGAATCCCATTTTTCAATTTTTCCAATTCCTTTCGGGTGTACTCAAAACTTCCAAAACTTTCCAGGATGTCTATAAAGAGTTTCTTACTTTCCATATCCAGTGGTCTTCGTTTCAACATATCTAAAATGGAGAATTAAGAAAATAGAAGATTCGCAATGAAGAATTGTGCGTAAAGCATACCCAAAAGCCGATGATCGTTCGGGTGACTTTGAATGGCATGAATTATAGGAAAGTTAAATTTTCCCTCGTCAAGATCGTCACAAAAACCACGAACAGTGGCGTACTTAAACGTAAAATCGTGTAAACAAAATTTAAAAGCTATAAATAGTTTCCTGACCTTAGCGTTGTGCAAATTAATGTAGTCGCCATAAAGTTGAAGAACTAGGCCCATTTTATGGTACAGATCTTCACTAAATTCCATTTTCTCCTTTTTGGCGCAAAATTTTAACCACTGGACTTCCCATTTTAAGGCATCGGTAGATTCTAAATTTTGCAGCAAAAAAATTCACTAAAATAAGTATTACAAATTTTACTTACTGCCACGTATTAAAGTGCTGTATTCGTGGAAAGTAGGACATCGTTGACTGTCTCGATAATAGATTTCTAGTCCTTGTCCAGTGAAAACTCTAATACCCAGCTTAATAAAATCATCAAAGGCGATGTCCTAAATAAGAACAGAAACAATAAAGCAAACACAAAAATTCCAAGATCAGTTATCGGTTTTCTCAACATCACCTTCCTGTTTTCTGCGTAGCACAGTAAATTTTGCATTATTAGAAAAATATGGTATAGTGTAGCCTGGATAGTTAGCGGAATTCCATAAACCAGATGTGGTGAAGGAAGTCCTCTGCGAAGTATCGTTCCATCCAGAACATCATCTAGTCTGCCGGAAATAAAACAAGAAAGAGTAAATTAATCTGTGAATACAAGGGAAACTTACACAAGATTGACTTCGTGTAACCCATTTGCAATGTCGGCACAGACTTTCAGTGCGTCTTTGGGACACTTAACCCAATTATTAAAAGAAGCAACGAATAATTTCAAAATGTTACGATTTTCTGGTCCCGCTTGTAAAATATGTTTCATAGGTCGCGCTAAAATCTACAATAAAGACTTTGTTAAAGAAATATTTAAATTTAGTTTAGTGGCTACGTTACCACTTCGTCCTTGGTCTCCATTTCGGTTGATTGGTTTGCCGCTATCTTCAACAACTGCTGATATTTTTGTAATGTTGTAATTTGCTTCAAAAAGTGACATTTATGTAGTTAGTGTCTGGAGTGAATTAACTAGAAAAAGTTGTAAAACAGGATAAATGTTTATTTGTTACACTTAACATATATAATGAATAACAAGTTAATTAAAAATTGTACTTACTTTTTTATTCTGTATTTTCATACTCAAGTTCATACAGGGTCATTATAAGGAAGGCCATGACTTTATTGACATTGTGTGCCGCCTTTCACAGTTTCGTGGAAACGATTACACTAATATTGGAATTTCTATTTTTAACGTCACTTTAGTGGCTGCACTGTTTCGGCACCAACGCTTCATCAGATTCTGTCGTTGTTGTTAATGATTTTTTCGTTTTTACTGATTACTGGTGAGTTTTCCTACACCTTGTGCGTTAATTGACTTATCTTGTTGTTTTCATTTGCTGTCTTCCCCTTTGTTCGAACTTTAAGTGTCTCAAAAAATAGTTTTCATTAAAACTTCAGATCATCGTGGAATAATCTCAGGTAATGCACACAGAGAAATGACTATGGTCAGTGTTACAAATAACTCTTCTAGGTTAAGATGGGTTATTCTTTGGAGCAAAACACTTTTGTTATCATGTCTTATTACCGTAATGGGGTGTTAAACGAGGATGGGGAATGGATGTACTCTGTGGATGCGTGTAAAGACGAGTATCTGGTGAAATATTCTGCATAATAAGTTTAAGAGCCAATCCAGAGTTGCCTCTCCGATCTCCTGACTTGACCCCACTTGATTTTTTAATATTTGGATGGATGAAGGACAGCGTTTATAAGGATAGAGCCCACACATTGGAAGAATTAATGGATAAAACTACATGTTTTTGTAATGAAAATCTTAATGAAAGAGTGTTGCAAAACATTTTTGAAAACAAAAAATAAAGAGTGGCTTTCTATTTGCGGAAAAATGGACCACAGTTTCAACATATTTTATAAAATACATACATGTGTAGTTTACATTTTGTTACATTTGTGCTAAGTAAATCAATGTGATCAATGGACAAAATTGGATGTAAAAATTGTATGTAGGTACGGCAAAGTTTTTTATCTTCAGTAACTGTGGTAGTTGCATCCTCTTAATTTAAAACTTACCTCAACTTACTGTTTAGTAATAATTGTAACTTTACAATTAGGAAGGTTACAAATCTTTACTAAACATTCTGCTTTTTAAACAGATCTCGTAATCATCTGCAGAACTCTTAACACTATGGTCCTGAAATTTTATTGTTTTTTTTTTATTTAATTTATTATAGAAATTTTGAAAAATCTGTATGTTAAGATAACCATGTGAGTGTGTTTTAAGTAGAATTTCTTAGATCTGGCATGTTTCAGATATCTAAAAACTGCAAAGCTGAAGGTAATGCTTGGATATGGCAGTTTTCACCTACTGTAGGGACGAAGATCAAGGCTTTCAGTTGTGTTTTTTCGAGAGAAAAGCGCCGGTTAGAAACCACGTCTGTACAATGTTTTGACGATTCCTTACAATTTACAAGCGGAACTTTCGCGGGACCACAACTTTAGCAAAATTATTTAATCCAAAAACTACTCATTGTCATTTTAAAACAGTGGTACTGTTCTTTAATTGCGATCAGACTTGTTCTGCCAATGTCCATTACGTGATTTTTCACAATTTTACCTACAAAAATGTAATTTTTTAATTAATTACCGTGTTCATTGGTTTCGACAAATTTGACCTCACTTTTTGGATTTCATTGTTTGAAAAATTATTGTTTCTTTGCAAAATAGACCAGATGATTTATTCTGCTCAACTCTAATCGGCCTTCCAAGGTGTAATTCACGACAAAGTCTCCAGTCGTCACCTAGAAAATCGGTTCCAGTGGGAAGAATTATTTTTTGTAACTATGCAACTCAAACTACCAACCCACCACAGGTACCGACCCAAGAGAGGAGAGATTATGGTCACTATATAGAGTCCATCATAAAATGCAAATTTGTAAACAACACCAGATAAGCTTATTTATTTCCAAACGAAGAGTACAGGGGAATATCGATCGAAGTTCATTTGTATGTAAAGAAATTGAGTTGAAAATTTAAAACGCTCCAGAAAATAGATTGAGAAACCCACAAGGCTCAGTCTGACAAAACTTTTTATTTTCTTTATTTATTACATTAGTTATACATATTATTTTGAATACAGTCGCAAATTTATCATCTAGTTTTAAAAATGTAATAAGAGGCAGATAGCATTTACAAAAACGTTTAGTAATAGACAAATAACGTGCCACAAAAAGAAACGTACTTTAAAAAGAAAACAGCGCAGACAGTGTGCAGATTCTAAGTAATTATGGGCATGTCGTCGCCTGAGAACTTATTTGATCTACAGGCCAGAGTGCACTCAGGCCTATATCGACTCTAAGCGATTTATCTATAAGCCGACTTTCGTTAGAGCTGATCTGACTGATACACTACGAAGAACTAACTCGTTTCGACCATCATGGTCGGACTTTACAACGAACAAAGTTCTAGAACAATGACAAAATTTACATTTCAAATTGTATTATCAAGTGGTAGAACGCTCACCAAAATTTCTCACCAACAGTGAAATGACGTAATCTCCAAATTTTACAGTAGTTGATGTAATTTAAATTTTATATCATCCGTTTATGGTTTATCAATCCGTGTTGAGTTTTTACCATAGATATCAAAATTTTTGAAAAAAAATCAACAACATTCTCCAATTTATAGTTATTGGAAGCATGTTAAATCGTTAGTTAAGATTTATTTGTTGATGTTCCCCAGGAGTTGATGATGTCATCTTACAATTTTGTCGAATAAATGTTGTTTAAATGTTAAAAAGTAGCATAATCCTGAACTTGTGGTTTACATTATTGAGATTTTTCGGTTTTTCGGTTTTTCGATTTTTCAACTTTTGATGTTTCAATTTTTCAATACCTATTTCAATTTTTGACATTTTCAATTTTTCCATTCTTCAAGCATTCGATTTCTCCATTTTTTTATTTTTCGATTTCTCAATCGTCCGATGTTTCAACCATACGATTTCACAATTTTTCAACTTTTCGATATTTTAATTTTTCAATTATTAAAATTCTAAATTTTTCGATTTTTCGAGTTTTCAGTTCTTCTATGCATATTTCAGTTTTTCAATTTTCGGAGTTTACTAAATTTCTGATTTTCCATTTTTTTTTTTAATTTTTCGATTTTCCAGTTTTTCGATGTTTCGATTTTTCCATTATACGATTGTTTAATTTCTCGATTTCTAAATTTTAGATTTTCCAACTTTTATTTCTTTGATTTTTTCATGTTTGGACTATTTATTATTGCTAAAAGTAAAAGTAAAAAATAACTACCAAAATTGTGATTGAAAATATGTAAAAATTAATACAAAATAGAACACATTGTTGCTAAAACATAAAAAAACTGTACTTTCCCAAAAAAATCTATTGCATGATTACTGTTCCACTAGTATTGCTAATTTAGGGCGTTACTTAGTATCAAACGCAATGAAAATATTAATTCTTAGTTAAACAAAAAAATAGTTGAGTGTCAAAATCGAGTGAAACATGTGAGACGTGTGTAAACAAAAGCATCTAAATAATAACTATTTTATCTAAGTACCTGAACTGATTACCTGAAAGGGTCGGTCGGCAAGGCTCCCTGCTGTGTAAAACTCAACTATTTATCGAAACGGATCTTTGTAAATCGGGTTGCCTAGTTTCACTTTATTTTCATTAATCAGTATTTTTTTAAAAACAAATAGTTTGATAAATATTAATTTTAAAGAAAAATGACCGGGTCTTCCCCATAAAGCTTAATGATGTCTTTGCACTGCTATAAAAGTTGAAGCGAAAAATGCTTTCTCTTCGTCTAAAAATGCAATTTCCTTCGAAGAATGAACGATTAATTAAACACTAAACAATCACTTATTTTAAAAATTATTGTGTCTTCCCGAGATTTAGACATAATCTATCAATTGAAATGTTGAAATTACGTCCGTACAATGAAATTCTATTTAGCTCATTTTTCGGTCTGCTACTGGGCACCCTTAAACGCTTTTCTGATAACTTACAATTTTTGAAGGTCAAATATATTGCAATAGCGTTCACAGATGCTCGATAACACGATAACACTTACAACCCCTAATGCTCTGGCGTATTTTCGTAATGAAATTAAATCGCAAACCTGGCATTTCTATTTTTGACACATTTGACAAATTTGTTTTGACGTTCGTGACAATTCAAAAGACTTCAAATCACTTTGGTGATTAGCGGCACGAGAAAAATTTCAGTTGTTTTTCATAAGTAAGTTGACCCTGTATACTTGTTTTATCCAAAATTTTAAATCCTTCTCGTCATATAATTTTTACCTGTACCTACTGCATGAAACTTACATTTTTTGGCAACACTGACAAATTATTAAAAATAACGTTAAAAAATTAAATAGATTACATAGAAATAGATACACAGAAAACTGTCGTTCTAAACACCACTACTCTTATGTTACCTCTATGCATATTTTAGTCACAACAATCGTAATAGATTTCCGTTTCCAAATTACCCAACATATCTTCCAGAACTCGTTCCAATTGTGCATTTTTTCCCATATTCATGTTGTCTGCATCAGTCACAATTCCATTTTTCAACTTTTCCAATTCCTTTCGCGTGTACTCGAAACTTCCAAAACTTTCCAGTATGTCTACAAAGTGTTCCTTACTTTCCATATCCAGTGGTCTTCGT